TCCTGAGCAGCACCTGGCATCAGGCCCCAGCAGGTGGGCGGCTTTCATGGAGCTCCCCTCCCCAAGACTGCATCTCTTCAGGTATGAAGATGGTCCCCTCCGTCAGGATTCTCTGGTCCAATGCGGTATTAGAGGACAGGGTGGGAACGCAACCCATCCGGTATGCTCCCTGAAGGGGCCAATGCCCCCAGGCACAGGTCAGAGGGGGCCGTGGTCTCAGTGTCAGGCAGGTGTCTTCCGAATGGGGGGGTGCCATGCGTGTGGTTCAGGAAACAGGGAGGACAGGCCTGACCCCAGCACCTGCTCCACGAGCAGGGCACTCCTCCTTCTTCTTTGGAAAAGAAATTTGTTTTGCTTACAATCTGCATTTTCACAAATGCACTTCACAGGACATCGTCCTGTACCTCTTGGTCCCCCAGGTTCTGCCCTAGCTCCCGTCCTGTCCAGGAGGCCTCAGTGGCCAGTGCTCCTGCCATGTACTTATTCAGGGATTTGAGGACAAAAGGGGACAGAGGGTACCAGCTCAGAACAAAAGCTGTGAAGGAGACAAAGAACTGCTTGACCAAACCCCCTCTCCCTATACCCACATTTATCGTGAACATTAAGACTAAAGCAGTTTCAGGGCACCTGGCTGGCTCTGTCGGCGGAAACTGCGATTCTTGGGGGTTGTGGGTTCGAGCCCCATGTTGGGTGTTGAGATTACTTTAAAAAAATCTTTAAGAAAAAAAAAGACTAAGGCAATTTCAAAGTCTAGATGGTTGTTCTTGGTCCCCTATGTCCTTGCTACTCCAAGTAGGTCCAGGCCTCACCTGGGAGCTCTTTCGAAACCTAGAAGCTCAGTCTGCCCACTCCCTGGCCCAGACCTACTAAATCGGGGTGTTAGCAAGATCTCAGGTATGCCGTCTGCGCGTCAGAGCTGGGGGAGTGCTGCCCTGACCACGGGGCAGCATCAGGGAGGATGCATGCTCCCCAGCACTGTGCTCTTGCTGGCCCTGACAAAGAGAGACATCTCCTCGTTCCCAGCACAAACTGGAGTCGGTGCTCCGACTTCGAGCCCTGGCACCACGTTGTACCTTCCTCCAGTGACTGATTGTGTCTCTCGGTGGAGTTCTCCAAGGGCTGAGATCCACGCCTAGGATCTACTCGGTAAATGCTTGCTGAGTAAGCAAACTCGGTGCTTGGACAAGACCTGCGTATTTTCCTGTCAACTAGAAGCAGCAGTGTGCACCCCTCCAACTGCCTGTTTGGGAGAGAAGGGGGCCTCGGCTCGGGGCCCACTCACGTCTCTCCTGCCATTTCTCACACTTGCAGACCTCTCCCCACAAGAGAACCCCCTTTCCTCACCCAGGAAACCGGAGACCAGAATGCCAGTGTCTAGAGGCTTGGAAACAGTGAGAACTGACTTCCCTGGAAGCTCGGAGGGTCCTCTGTGCTTCTGGCCGCGGAGGTCCAGCCCTCACAGGGGACACTCGTTCTGGCCGCTGAACACCAGGCAACTCCGGTTGCCTCCCGCACAGAACCTTGGCCTCCCTCGAGTCTGCTGCCTCTTTCTCTGCACCTCCCAGTTTCAGTCTTGTCCCCAAGACTCTCCCTCCCTGACCGCCCAGCCTCCAGATGCTCAACTTGTGGCAGCACGTGAAACAACCCTCCCTCTTCTGAGGCTCCCAAACCTGTGCCAGACGTGAAGGAGTCCTGGGTGGGGTCAGAGACACAGGAAGGTTCCTGGTGCAGGGAGCCCCAGCACACCATGCCTCACCATCCTTCCAAGGATGTCCTCTCTGGACATTTTCCTGACAGTCCACCCTCACCTGGAACATTCTCTAAACATCACTACTGGCCTTGAGGATCTTCAAGTCTAAACTTTGTTGATATGCCTACATAGGACCACTTTAAACATCAATTTCTAAGAGGCTTCCTTGCGGTCCCGGGACCAGAGCATAAAGCCCATTTCAGTAACAGCCCTCTCCAGGTGCTGAACCGGTGGGCACCACACTCAGGCAGGCCAAGTCCCACTTAGTCCTGTGTAAGGTCCTGTCTGCGACGCTTGAGGGGTTAGAGGTATTGTAATGCACCCCCCTTTCCTCAAGGTATCTCCAAAGTGAGTTCAAGGTGAGCCTGCAGAGCTAGTAGGGAGGAAAGCTCCTTTCGGGCCCAGTGGTGAAGAGCATGGCTCTGGCTGAGCGGCCCACACCTGCCCCTGCCCACCACCCGTGAACTCGGGCAGGTCCCCACACTGTCCTACCTTGCAGCCAGGACGGAGGAGCTAGTGGGGTCTTCCAACACTTGTTACCAAGTGTCACCGAGGAAGGCAGGCGGGGTTGAGAGAGCTCACTCCCCACCAAGGCCCTGGCTTCTGGTGGCCGCCCCCCTTACGTGCCCACTCACCATCCCTCCACCAGGACGCCGCAGGCCCCCACTTCCCGTGTGCTCGCCTCCCGCTCGCTCTCAACACCCCCGATGTGTCTGAATCAGCCCAAGGTGTTCAGTCAGCACCTGTGGATTCTCCGCTGGGTGCCGTAGTCTGACACAGGTGCCACCGTCCACACAGCCTGGCAAATCCTCGGGAGGAAGGCGTGCGAGGATCGAAGGCACCGTCTGCCTTCTCATCGCCTCACCATCACCAAAGCTCCTGTCTCGTCCTTCAGCCTGGGGGCTGCATTCACTTACGTTTCAAAACCGACCCATTTCCCTACTCCTGATTTTGCACAATGATATCATACCCAAGTGATGCAGTAGCACGAACACGAGACATCCCGGGAAGGTGTAATCTGGTTTCTCCAGCCCCCATCCCTACATGCTCCTGCACCCCTACTTGCTAAGGTGGCCCGGCTGGAGCACCGACTTCCCAGCACGGTCCTTGGGTGACGTGCGTCCCGAAGGTGCGATGGCGACCAATCTGTACTCAGCTCTTTCATGAAAAGACTTTCCTTTTTCAGAGCAGCTTACTCTCTTGTGCAGTGCTAGAAGCACGTTTCGGCTTAAACGGAATCTTCAGTTCCATTTTGTAGCAGGAAAAAAAAAAAAAGGGAGAAAGTTATGTCTTCAGCCTGAGATAAGCCGAAGACACTCCACCTCGTTTTCCAGAGATTGCATCCTACTCCTGTTTTCAACATGCTAAATTCTCAGGAACATCATCAAACACACGTACTAGGCACACTCAACCGAGACCCTTCGATCTCACGAAGACTAGCTGCTAAGCTAATTCTAAGGGTCGTTAGCCAACTGGGACCATCTTTGAATCCAAGCAGTTTTACCAGCTTTTATTATAAACACCAGCACATTTCAAGTTTCCTCTTTTTGATCACAAATATAGGACTTTTTTCTTCTCCTCTTAAGTATACAGCATGAGACACAGCGCCGGGGTTTTCCAGCTGTCTTACAGAAATCTCCTTACGCCAAGTGCGGGGTTAGCATCCACCGACCACACCCTCGGCCGCATCCCTTGGCGGATTACACAGGACATGGACTCCAAAAAGATGAGATCTGTACACAGAGTTTCAGATCCCAGGACGACCTGAAAAAGAGGCCCCCCACTGGCCCCATTAAATGGCTGCCCTGCACAGCGTGTAACATGGGCCTGGAGCCACTCCTCCAGGGCTCCAGATGGCTCACCCCTTCGGTCTGAACACGGGCTCAAGGTTTAACATTAGTGGAGAGGGTGATTCGGGAGAGGGTCCCAGATTCGAGAAGCAAGTAAGCAGAGCAAGGATGGCTAGATGGCCACTGGAGGGCCACGGCCCTGCTTTCCCTTTTGGGGATGTGGTGGAGGTGGCAGTTGGTTGGCAATGCTAGATGGTCTTATTATCTGGCATAATCTACGTTAAAACTCAAGATTTGAAGCTCTGTGCTCGAATTAATTTTTTTCAAAGTTTCCTCAAGTTTAGATTCCCAAATCAAGTATTTTGAAATGATCTCTGTGAATACAGGGCCCAAAGGGAAGCTATTTGGGCCATGAATTCTAAATTTGCCACCACAACCGCCCCCCCCCCCAGGTTGGGGGACCAGGGACACAGGAGGCAGGACTCAAGTCCCTTGTGCTTGGTGGGGAAGGGATGTTGCAGTCCACGCTCCCCGGAGGCATTCCTCCACTCCGACGTGATGTTTACAGCATCCAGGGACTTGGGTGTCACCCTCTTGGGAAGGGCACCTGACTGTGGACCTGGGGGGGGGAAGGCGGGGTGGTGGTGGGTGTGTGTGGGACCACGTGGCCAAGTGCCCATCCCTCGAAGCTGGAGGACTCTTTCACCACAGTGCTGCCCTCACAGGCCCTGGTTCTAGAGGGTGGAGAGCAAAGGCCAGAGCACTTAGCTGCCCAGCCCAGCTTCGGAGGCCACAGCAGGACATGCTGTGTGTAGCATCCTCCCGTATGGAGCACAGGATTTAGGGGGAAGCAGGAACCACCTCCAGTCCCTGGAGCAGATTTTGCACCAATTCTGGGATTTGCATATAGGAAAGGCGAGGGTAGGTACTGCTGACAACAACCACAGGAACCATCCCTACTCTGGTTTCTCGAAGCTTAAGGGAGGAGGACAGGAGACAAAGTGCTGCTTCTGACCCACCTGAAGCCCTAACTCGGTGGGTGAAGTTCCCCGTGGAGCACTGAATATATGAGGCCATCAATGAGCTTGGCCACCTCGCTTCCTGGAAAGGGAACCACCCAAGGCCTTGGCTGAGCCTGCCTGCCACCCACATGGCCACCAGGACCGTGGTCCCTGCCTCTCCTCTGTGAGCAATCCACCAGAATCATGTCTTACAAAGAACAGACTCCAAAAATATATATAAATAAATAAAAACCTTAAACATTCTTACAGGGATCTTAAAGAACAGAATACATGTTAAAAACTTCAGTAATTTATATCAATTTTAAGCGGTACTTTATATACAATGGGGGAAAAACACATGCATAGTCCAAATACAATGTTGAAAACAGCATTTTCATAACAAAAAACCCCGAACACTAAGTGTTAATACCATGTACATGAATTCAAGAAGGACCACCCTTTTTGTCTGTTGCACACAGTTTATTTAACAATATGATATAAGAAATGAGTTGGTACTTTACCATTCTATACAGTGATTGAATCTTCTTGAATTTTCTTATTTATAGTAATTATAGCGCTTGCATGATTTACACTAGAATTGCTTTTCCTCATTTCAAGTTTCACATAGAAGAAAGAAAAGAATGCTTCTTCTCTATTAACATTAGCATGGTCTAAGAGAGTGATCATCCCTATTTTTTGTCTAAAACCAGTTTTATCAGAGAAACAAAGCAACAATTTCTACATCTGCAAGACAAAAGTTTGGCTTAGGCCAGTATGTATAGATAGATGTGTGTGTGGGTGTGTACGTGTGTGCACGCAGGAGCCAATTCCTATCGTCCAGGGGTAATACTTGGAGAACGCCCACAGAGTTCACTATAGAAAAAAATCTTCCCGCAACGTCAGAAAGTTATCGGGATACATTATAAGCTTGCATTATTTCAAGAATCAGTTTCTGAATATTATTTTTCTTCTCACTTTTAAACATAAATGTTTAAAGTCTTGAAAATACAAATAAAAAATATGAATATAATGAACTTGTTTTTCCCGTTAAAAAAAGGCATGAGTCACCAGTAATGACGACAAAAAGAATCCAAACAAAACCCCCCTCCCCCCAAAACAAAAAAACAAAAACAAAAAACAAAAACAAAAGGAGAGAGAGAGAGAGACCAGATATTTAAATCAACTGGTTTTTAACAAAAAAATATATTCTTTGTATTGTTTCTTTAAACAGCAATCTACCCTTCCATGGCTTGGAAGTAGCAGTTCCGTCTAGGAATAAAAAGAGCCTAGATGCCTGGATTTCAGTACAAAAGGTCCAAGAACATGAAAGGGGGGAAAAAAAAGGCGATGCTCTCACAATGCTACAAACCCTCCACAAACTTTTCTAGGGTATCTCCTGTGGTGTCGCCGACCAGGGACAGCTCACTGGACAACGCACTCCTGTTGGGGGTGTTCAGCTGCGGGAGCATTGCACTCTGTTCGGGGTTCCCCAAGTGTCCCTGATCTATGGAGCTGGCCATGGTGACTGCGAGTCCTGGGTGGGGGGAACCAGTCTGGGGCGAGACGTGGTGTGGAGAAGGCTGGGGCTGTATCCGTGGCGACGGGCTGGAATGTGGAGGCTGGGACTGGGGCCGCGGAGACTGGACAGGGGCCGGAGACCGCACCTGGCTACTGAGGGACGTGGCCATCTGCTGGCCGGGGAGGTGCGAGGCCTGCGGTTGTCCTGAGAGCATGTGCTGCTGGGGGCTCATGGGGTTCGGCTGGCCCGGGGAGCCGATCTGCTGCTTCATCTGCTGCTGCTGCAGAATCCGCTGCTGCAGGGCCTGCTGGATGTTGGGGGTGCTGTCTGCGCCCAGCCCCGGCTGCCCCATCTGGCCGAGCTGTCCCATCTGAGCCGCCATCTGGCCCATGGAGCCGCCCTGGATGGGGAGGTGCTGCTGCATCCGCTGCTGCTGCATGGCTGGGGGGTAGCCTCCGGGTCCCTGGGGCTGCTGGAACTGGCCGTGCCCGGCCATGCCCCCGGCCATGCCTGCACTGCCCTGCTGCTGCTGCTGCTGCTGGAGCAGCTGCCGGCGGAGCATCTCCCGGTACTGCGGGTTCATGCTCGCCATGCCGGGGCTGTGGCCCGGGTTCATGATGTTCAGGGCCTGGCCCTGGGGGTTCAGGCCTCCCATCGCCTGCTGCTGCGGAGGCACGCCGGGCCGGGGCCCGCCGGCTTGCATGGCATTCAGGTTCTGCAGGCCGGGCTGCTGGTGCAGGCCGGGCTGGGCCTGGAGGCCGGGCTGGGGCTGCAGGCCGGGTTGGGGCTGCAGGCCAGGCTGACTGGCCACATACTTGGCTGTGCGCTGCTTGATGAAGGCCGCCATCAGCTGCGGGTTGGACTTGAGGATGTTGAGCACCTGCTGCTGCTGCTGCGGGGAGCTGGGCGACTTCAGGGTCCGCAGCAGGTCCTGTAGGGCGCCGGGCGAGATGCTCCGGGGCGGCTGCACGCCGGACATCCGCGGGCCGGCCACGGCCGGCTGGGCCTGCATGGACAGCACAGGCCGGGCCATGCCCGGCATTGGCTGCTGCTGGGGGAGAGGCGCCTGCTGCCACTGCCCGGGTGGCAGGTTGGGCATGACGGGCCCACTGACCTGGCTGGGACGGGGCACGTTCAGGCCCACGGGGGCCATCTGGCTCACCGGGGTAACCATGCCCGTGCGCCCCGGGGGCATGCCGTTGTTGATGTTCACCCGGTACAGGTGCTGCTGCTGCTGGGCCTCCCGCTCAATCTGCCGGGCCGCTTCCACCGCGGCTGGTGGGGGCTGTGCGGGGGGCGGCGGGGCTGGCACCTGGTTGGCGGGCTTCCCGGTGGACACCGTCGTGGGGGGCTGAGTCCGGGCCACACTGGGGAAGCCGGCTGGTGACATGCTCACGGGTGAGGGCTGGGGTTGAGCCGGGGGCTGCGGCGTCTGGGGCGTGCTGGGCTGCTGTGTGGGGGTCCCGGGCGGAGCTGAGGTAGGGGAAGGCAGACTCTGCTGAGGCACATTGCGGGTGTTCATGGTGGCCATCCGCCGGCGCATGAGCTGAGCCTGCTGCAGGCGGTGCTGGATCTGCTGCTGGCGGAGCTTGTGTTTGATGTTGAGGCAGAAGGGCACCGGGCATTTGTTTTCTTGGCAGTGTTTGGCGTGGTAGCAGCAGAGGGCGATGAGCTGCTTGCACACCGGACAGCCCCCGTTGGTCTTGCGCTTGCAGCCCTTGGTGTGCTGCACCACCCGCTTCATCTTCTGGCAGGATGGCAGCGAGCAGTTGGCGTTGCGGCACTGGCAGGCGTGCACCAGGGACTGGATGCAGCGCTGGATGCTCAGGCGCCGCGACTCCTGGGGGCTCTTGGACTGTGGCTCGCCCTGGCTACTGCCCTCGTCGTCCAGGCCCAGCCCCCACTTCACCATCTTGTGGGCGTGGCTCTTGGTGTTGTAGCAGTTGATGCAAAGGTCATAGTCCTGCGGATAAGCACAGGGCATGCACCGCGGTCAGCACGAGGCCCCACGGGACCAGACGTCTGCCCGTGTCTACCCCGGCAGCCTCACAAACCCCCTCCCAACGGTCTCAGAGGCTCCTGGGTGCGCTGGCTCACATCTGGTCCCCTTTCCTTCCTTCCTTGGCCCTTGGGGAAGGGCACCCACACCACTGAGGCCCTGCTCCCATACCTGGCCTGGGAAGCCTGGCAGTTCCTCCCGAGCTCACCCAAGTGCTACGCACCTGGGTTTCTAGAAACCAGCCCCCACTCCCTGGGGCTGCTGCTGGGTGCCCTGGTGCGTCCCCCGAGCTCTGCAGGGTGGCCCAGACAGCCTGCGGGACAGAGAGGCCTTCACCATAAGACAGGCCTTGGGCTCAAACCCCAACGACAAAACGCACGCTCACAGGTTTCTTAAAAGTTGCTTGTATCTGCAGACAGAGACTACCAAATGCCAGGTCTGGAGAAGGAAACTCTATGACCGAGACACACCCTTTTTCCAAAAGGACATGAAGGTCCCAACAGTGGGCAGTGACAGAGAACAAAAGAAGGCAGGAAAAACCGGGAAATGAAGACAAAGGCATTACAGAGGATCCATCCGCCCCCTCTGCCCAAGATCACAGAGCTGCTCCTACGGGCATGTGATTCTGGGAACTGTTTGGAATGCAGACGCTGGCAAGGCGAGGGTGGGGTGGGGGGACAGAGGGACCCATCTGAGGAAGGGACGGACCACACCCCTTCACACAGCGTGTGCAACCACGGGTCCCCCAGGACAGCGCCTTCTCAGCTGCTCAGCAAGGCTACATACAACTGGAGGCATGAACAGGGGAAACCAGTCAGAATCCCGGCGGGGCTGAAGCATAGCTGGTGCCTCTTTTGGCTCCTACTCTGGCACCAGAGGGCCCATGGATGTTCCTGACACACGGCTGGTGTTAGCAAACGACAAGGAATAAAATAAAAGTGCTCTGTAATCACATCTTCCTGAAAAAATCAGCACAAACACTGCCTCCCCTAGGAGGCCTCCCCACTCCTCTGCCTCCTGGGGAGACCAGCCCCTCCTGCCGGGGCCAAGTGTAGCCCGGACACACACATAACACCCTCTGTTATGCTCAGCAGGGTCGGGACCATACATGCTCCGTGAAGGGAGAAAGGCTCCTTCCTTCCTACCCTGAACATCTGCTGTTGAGCCTGGAGTGGGCACAGAGCACAGATTCTCTTCTTTGTGAACAAGGAAACACCAACCTCATGACCAAAAATTCCCGGAGACGACCAGGAGGTAGATGAGCCTTTTTCATTTGGTCATTTGGTACCCCTAGAAAATGCCGACTATCTCACCGTTCAATCTGAAATGCTGACAGCGCCGATGGTGGCAAGGGCAGGGGAGTGACCGGGGAGGGAGGGAAGTGGGGCCTACCTCGCACACGGTGCAGTGCCAGCGCGTCTCCACATGGTGCTTGCACTCGTTGCAGGTGTAGACGAAGCGGTCCTGGCCCTGGGTGTGCAGCTCCACCAGCATGCACAGTGTGGACCACTTGGACCGGCGCAAGGAAGAGAACTCCCAGTGCTTGTCTCTGGCGAGTGTGAGGAAGGCGTCCCGCCCATCCATGAGGTCACAGCTGAGCAGGGGGTCAGGGTCAACGATGGGGGGCAGCGTGTTGATGACAGGCCCAGCGTGCAGGTGGATCACAAAGAAGACCTGCAGGGGAGGATAGCATTAGCCCCCACAGAGAGCGAGGCAACTCGGCCTTCCAGGGCCCAGGGCTCTCTCCACAAGGCCCATGGGCCCCGGCTTCACAGCAATCCCTCTCCTTGATCCCACAGACCAGGAGGGGCCCCGGTCTCTACCTCTTTGTGCTTCTCCATCGTGGCGTAGAGCTTCTGGGACAAGTCATTGGACACATTGGGCATGCTGGGCTTCTTCTTGTTGGCTCGACTGATGCTGCTTTTATTCTTGTTGGTTTTCTTGTTGTTCTTCTTCTTGGCATTCTTGCTGTCGCCCTGGCTGCCCTGAAACAACACGCAAAGCTGCTGCTCGAGCCCAGCCTCCCCTCCTCCGTGCCTGGCACTTTGCTGGGGCACCCAGCCCCCACAGCCAGGGAGATGGGTGCCCCAGGAGGCTCCACGGCTTCCTGGAGGCAGGCGTCATGGAGGCAGAGGTGAGGAGGACGGGAGCAGGGGTGCAGTGGTGACACAGGGGCCACACTGGCCACACGGCAGTGGTGACATCAGGGGAGAATACACCCAGGATGGACTCTAACAAGGCAGGGGATCCAAGCTATCTTTCCTTGCTCCATACTGCTCCACGCCATGTGCCACATGCTCCGTTGCACACGGTTCCAAACATCCACTGTGCATGAGATGGGGGAACAGTGCCAGGAGACGGTGCCGTGTGAGCCTGAAACCCCCTCCCTGAGCTCTCCAGCGAGCTGAGGTGTGAGGAGTCCTGCCCCTCAGGTCTGGAAAGAACTCGGGCCCTCCGTCATTTAGGCCCCAGGTCTGGTCCAAAGAACTTTGTTCTCAAGAAGAGGAGAGAGAAGGACAGATGCTCTGGGTGCCGAGGGGCACTGACAACTCCTGTCTGGGGCCCGGGGCAGAAGAGGGCCCCGGTGAAGAGCAGCGCACTGGAGCGGGCTGCACAACTGCCAGGCAGCCGCAGGGGGACTGCGCGGTACAGGGAGCTCCGCGCACCGCTAGAGTTTTCAGTAAGCCTTGAAACCGTTCTAAAAACTAAGCTGACTTTCAAAAAGTTATAAAAGAAATAGATTCACTGCACAAAGTTCAGAAAATATAGCCAAATTAAAAAAAAAAGTTTTTTTGGCCACCCTAAGCAGCAGCATTCCGATTTTTCTGCTTGGAATTGTACCTATGCGTGGCTCCCGCAGGTGGTTCTCCCCCTGGAGCTGGGGTCACACACACGACACTGAGCCTATCCCTTCCCCACCTCCCCTAGGGAAGGATACTGCCAATGGTAAAGCAGCAGTCCAGCCCACATGCCGTCCACAACTGAGGCCACCGCCCGCCATGGGATCCTGGGGTGTCCACAGGGTGGGACCTGCCCGCTGCCTCTGTGGACTGGATACCACGAGGAAGTCCCCGACACCGCAAAGGCTAGTAAGGAGCCACCACCAGGCCAGAGATAAGCAGGTCCTCCTCGGACAGGACACCCAGCTGGAGCCTGTGTCCTGCCTCAGAGGCCACAGACCCTCTTCTCCCTGTGACCCCCTGCCCTGGAGCCCCAGATGCATGTTCTGACTCAGGCCACCTCCCATCCAAGGTGCAGGCAGTGGCGGACACGGAGAGGGATCTGGGCTCACAGCTCAGCTCTGTGCTCTCTCCTGCCAGAACTCCCTGGTTTCTACTCAAATTCGGCCCACCTAAACAGGATCTCTGGTGGCCTCCCAAAGACGCCAGCGGAGTGGTTTCTCGAGCCCTAAAACCCCTGACATTCAGGAGTATCGTTATCTTTGGTCAGATGACAGATCCTGCCTCCAGGGAGGCCCCAGCAAAAGGACCCCCGCAGCAGACCCTAGTTCTGAGGGCCCGTCTTGCACAGACCCTTGGCATTAACAGGCATCTCGGTAGCCAGTTCCTGAAGGACTTCTTTCCCAAATATGCTTCCCTAGCCTCCTCCTTTGCGTAGAGGCGGCAGCACTGACTCAGATGCTCGGGCCCCAGACCCAGCAGGCAGCTCCGATCCAGGATTTCCCTCACACACAACGGTCCGCGCCACGTTCTGGGGCTGCTACTCTCAAAACACATCATACACTCCCCGCTGCTTCTACAGCTATGAACCTAACGAAAACCCCCATCCTCTCTTTCTTGGACATCCCAAACACACACACACACTTGCTCCCAACGTGAGCCCTCACACATCTCCTCCTCCCACCGGCAGCAACCCACCGTGTGGGTTCCTTCTCAGCAGGTCAGCCTCTGCCACCTCCCCAGACAGGCCCCGCCGCAAACACCGGCACCCAGCCAATCTCGGTGCTCCCTTTCCTTACAGCTCCTACCGCTGCCTCTGGATGCACTGTTTTCCCCACTAAAATGCGCACCCTGGGAGGGCAGGGATGGGAGTCTTCTACAGCTCACCACCGCACTGCTGAGCACAGAGCCCACGTGAGGCGGGACTTGGTAGGCAGGTGAGTGCCCGAAGGCAACACCAGATGGAGGGCTGTCTGATGGGGTGGGATGGGGTGGGCTGGCTCGTGACGAAGTGAAAGGGAGAGGCCTGACGCCCGAGGTTTTCCTTCTCAGGGAAGGTCTGTAGTCAGTGGCCTGGCTGCACAGGGCTCTGTCTACTCTGGGCTGCTGGGCAGGATGTCCCCTGCTCTCGTCTTTCTGAGCCTCCACCCCGCCTGCCCCGTTCACAGATGCCAGACCCAGGACCTCCCATCTGCCTTCTCCCAGGTGACCTCGTGTCTCCAGCACCGTGTCTCAGCTCGCCCTTCGAGCTCCAGCCCTGACCTGCGGTGGCTGGTGACAAGGGGCAGGCACGTGTAAAAGCAATCCCACTGACAAAGAAGGCATGAGTCCACTGTCCTTGGCGCGAGGCCGGGCCCGTGGCATCTCCTTACCTCTGTTGTCTCGCTAGCCGCCGTGCTCTCCTCCTTCTTCCTCTCCTCTTCTTCTTGCTCCAACTCCTTAATGCTCTCTTCCAGCACATTAGGCCAGAAATCGCCCTCAAAATAGGGCAGCTCCTTGGCGCTGGTGAGCCTGTCTTCAGTTGCTTGTTTGAAAATGTCCTGGAGAGTGAAGGAAGCACAGCAAAGAGGGAAGTCAGTGGCGCTCCGGGGAGGGGCCCAGGGGCCGTGCCGCTGGGTGAGGATGGGGCATGGCAACTACACGTAAGGTGCTTCTATGCCTTTTCTCTACACTCTCCTTCTTTTTGCTTTCTACTCCTCATAGGTGAACAGAGCTTTGACATGCATGAGCCGCCAGGCCCTGCTTCAGGCCCAGGTACCTTGTAGTCATGAATGATCCGCTCCGCAAACGCCTTGTCCAGCATCTTCTTGTACCACTCCTGTAGGCGCTTTGGTTTGGGGATTTTCTGATCAGGGGGGTGGCAATGGAAGATATAGTCGTCTCCTTCACTTGGGGGGCAGGCCCAAATGTGTCCTGTTACATACCTGCAGGACACACAAATTCAGACCACAGTACTAAGTGAAAGCTTCCCTGCCTTCAAGGAGTAACAGCTGAGGAGCAGGAACCAAAGCAAGGACAGAAATAACTAGAAAAGAGAAAACAAAGAAATTTCCACGATGCTTGCAGCCAAATATAACAGGCTCAGAGAAGTTCCAAACCAGTGTGGGGGAGGGGGGAGAGGGGTGCATGGGTGGGCGAGGCCAAATCTCTGCATGCGAGAGCACACCTGGAAATCAGCCCTCAGACACCCCTTCTCAGGGTGTGCATGCCGGGCAGGGGTTAAGCCTTCCAGGGAATCCTGTCAGCACGGAACAGAGCCCGGGAGACGTGGCTCTGAGGCACGGGGAATGGCTTATGCCCAGGGATGTGCCCCATTTCCTAGCTATCACTTCCTGTGCAATGGAGAGGAGCTGAGTATCTCTAAAGGGCCAAAGTCAAAATAATCTGTCACTCTGTTAGACACCTGTCAGTCAAATACTTCTAACTTTTTCAAATTTGGGAAGGGATGCGACAGATCTAGAATGCCGAAACAGAGAAAAGCAGATGCAAAAGACCAGTATCCTGTAGGATCCCATTCATATGAAAAGTCCAGAAAAGGCAAATTTATATACAGAGAAAGTAGATCAATGGTTGCTGGGCGCAGGGGTAGAACAGGGATTAACAACAAATGGGTGTGGCGGTCCCACTACTGGGGGGAGGACAACGCTTGGAAATGGATTGACAGCCAGGCTGCACCGCTCAGTGAAGTTACTAAAAATCACTGGAGTGTACACTTGACATAGGCAGATTTCATGATACATAAAATATTCCTCAAAAAAGTTAAAAAGAAAAAAAAGGAGACTAGAATAGGGAAAAGAGTGAGAAAAGCACAGAAGGCAGGGAAAGCATGTGCGCTGTGCTGGGGAGCCCAGATCTGCGTGGCCCAAGGAAGTGCCCAGGAGGGGGGCTAGGGAGAACTCTGAATCGATCTGAGGACATTAGAACAGAAACACATACGACTTTAAAAAATACTCTAGTTATTTCGCAAAACACACAGTGAAAATTAAAAATAGAATTTTTATTAGTTCTGAATAATCTGAATTAAACTCACCCCAATTTCTTCACATATTCTAAATATCCAATAAGGATCTCATGGTAAACAGCTGTCCGGAGGCATCGGGGCCGGAAGAAATGAATACTGTCCAGATAAGATATGTACACACGCCTGGGGGGTGGGTGGGAAGAAATTAACTGGTATCCCCCAAACTTGAAACCAAACACCAACATCCAAAAAAGGCTCCAGAAATAAATTCTGTTTTCATAGCATTTACACTGGCCGTGCAGACAAGACGTAAGGAAACTCCTATCACCAAGGGCCGCTGCCCATGAATAAACAATTCCATCCCTGGGGCAAGAGCGATGGATCGCCCACGATGAAGAGCCATGGGAAGGCCAGGGCAAACTAACACAAAGCCTCTTCCAATTCCCTCTCACCTGGATTCTTGACTGAACGTGAAGTAACTCTTGGCAGAGGTACTTGGTTTTTACAACACGTGGGCCCATGGAGTGATCCCCACCCCCCTCTCTGTAGGTTTACCTGCCCCAGGTAAGACAGGGACAGCAGCAAGACCAGGACTGGAACCCACGAGTACTCACTACACAAAACACACTTTAAACAGTCATCAAAACCCTTCATTTCTCACTGGCTTAGTGGAAAACTCAAGTAACTAGTTTGGTTTGTTAGGCGTGGCTTATCTGATTTAAACCCAGGTCTGGAGCACACAGGTTCTCCAACAAGACACTTAGGTTCTCAGTCTGCTGCGACACCGCGGGCCCACTGATATGTACCCAAGAGGGGGAGGAGAAGGACTACCTTGTATTTGGAGGGGGGCAATCAGAGCCATATTCCTGCACGTGCATCCCAAAGAAGCACACATCCACTCCGTCAATTTCCTCAAAAGCAAAGAGCGCTTTGGTTCGATACGGGAAAGATTCTGACATTTCCCCAGAATCCACAAACCTGAAATCAAAGTCAGAGCCTGAGGTTTGCACACATCATTGTTCTACAAGGCGCTTTATAAATGAGATCTGCTGCTCTAAGCCCATGCAGTGCAGAGGAGCTGAAGGCCTGCTTGCCTTTGCTGACTGCTGGCCCAGAGCTCTGCCTACCAGCCTGGCCTTGGGCAGCCCGGGGCTGTGACCCTATTCTTCGTGACATAGTCTTGCTCAGCCAGGAATTTTATCTCCCCTTATGAATATGGAATACTGAGAAAAGGGTTGACTGTACCATACACGCTGAAAAACCTTTAAATTATACAAACTCTAAGCTTATTTTTTTTTTGCACTCTCTACACCCAATGTAGGGCTTGAATTCATAACCCCAAGATCAAGAGTCACAGGTGCTACTGACTGAGCCAGCGAGGCGCCCTGAATTATACAAACTCTAAAGCTGTGCCAGAAAGCAGGGCTTTGGTTAACCAGGTACAGGACCCCTCAAAGAGCGCTTTACAAAACAGCACAATGTGTGCACACAAACCGTGACTTCATCCCGGGCTTGACCTCCACAGTCTTGTCTGAGCTGGCCACCACACGGACAAAGACTTCCCCGGCTTCAGGATGATTCTGTCGCCGCAAAAACTTGTTGACTCGGTCTTCCAAGTGGTTGCCCAATCGTGTGGTCTGTAGTCCTGCAACGTCCAGAGCAAACAGGTGAGGGGGCTTCGGATGGGCTATGGAGAAGGTGGCTGAGGCCACAGGACCCACCCTTAAGAGTGGCCTGATTTTTTCTTTTTAAAGACTTTATTTATTTGAGACAGATAGAGAGCGAGCACACACAAGCAGGGGGAACAGAGAAAGGGAGAAGCAGACTCCCCACTGAGCAGGGAGCCCGATGTGGGGCTCGATCCCAGGACCCCAGGGTCATGACCTGAGCCGAAGGCAGACGCTGAGCCACACTGGTGCCCCTAGTGCAGTCTGATTGATTTTCTAAGGATTAATGTTTTCCAAATCCAGAAGGGACCTAGTCTGTCCTACAAGGTAAGCATGTAAGGAAAAGGTGGACTCTGGAATCTCAGGTGCTCCACACACTGACAAATGCTGTCATTTAAACGCCCACACATTTCCACCTTCTTTTAGCTGCAAGGGCAGAAGAGCCATGAAGGCCGACTGAAGGGTGCGGAGTAAAGTGGAAGGAGCAGACACAGGGGCCATGCTGAGCCCACCTCCTGCCTCCCCTGCCCTGGCCTGGATGAGGCCGCGATCTGGCCCCGGGCGCCCCCACGTGGCTGCTCGGTGTCAGAGCTGTGCCCGAAGCCAGAATCCACAGTGTTTGAGAAACTGCTTTTCCTGGAGGGCAGGGCTGCTCTCCCCTTTCTGCCCAGCTCAGAGGAGTCCAGCATGCAGCCTTGCGAGTTCATCCCAGGTAGGAGCTCACACAGCATCAGAACCCAGTTCAGCCCTGAACCCCCCCCACACCTTCCCTCTCCTGGGGATGCCCCAGGTGTGGCCACTGTGACAGGACTTTTCCAGCAAGCTACCCCCAGATAAAACACTGGTCACAGCCTAAAAATTCTTCGCAGGAGGGGAAAAAACTAGAAGGAAAAGCTGCAGAAGGTTAACAGTGGTTATTTACAGGTATGGGATTTGAAAGACATTTTCTTCTTTATATTTACTGATTTTTAACTATTTACTACATGGATGAGAAATCTTTTTAAAAAGCTATTTGGGATTTCCTAAGATTCCTTACTAAAGCCAGGAAGTACCTAGAAAATTTAGACTGACTTTCTAAATTCCATTTTTCTACAATTAATATAACAATGGTGGAGCTTTTTTTGGTATCTAAGTTATACCTGCATACAAGTGATTTAAAAAGAAAACACGACACGAAGATGAAATAAAAACCCCACAGAAAAATAAAAACTTGAAAAGCTATAAAACTGAGGAGAAAAGTGGATTTCACACCTGGACGAAGGCATGCCCTCCACACAGCCATGGACGCTCTGCTGAGCGCCGTGGCTGCGACAGCCTCCCAGAGAAACAAGAGTCGGGTGCAGAGGGGCCTGGGGGCCGGCACATCTACCCCAGCAGCCCCTGGAGGAGACCCTCCCGTTCTCACCCCCGCGGGCCGGGCCCCCTCCTGCCACTGCTGAGCAAGTCTGGCTCCCCTCACTCCCCTTCCCTTTTAAACACAGGACCCTACATACTGTGGTTTTCAAATAGCAAACAGGAGAGTAAACCTTTAAAATTGTCTTTCCTTTTTTCTTCAAATAACCTGAACTACCTGTACTAAAAAAAAGAAGAAAAAAAAAAAAGCTTTAAACGAGACCATATATGACGATCTTGTTACAGGCACGAAACCGAGTGCTGTGAAGGTGCTGAGGGCCCCCCAGAAGAGCAGCTGCTCCTGTGGCAAAGAGGAGGGCTTGTGCGGAGGCGACCCCGCAGAACAAGTCCGGGGAGAATCACGCCCTTGTGTCCGACACACACAGCCCTGCCTCACTCTCACGTCCCAGAGCTCCTCCTCACGCTGCGGGGGCCGTCCTTACACACGCCTTCGTGCACACACACGTCGTGGGACACGCGCGCACAAGTGCAATCGCGGAGTCTGGAAACGAACACTCTAGACTGCAGTCCCCCTTCCTCTCCCAGTGATCAAATCCTTTAGCCTTCTGCTCTCCGACATCAGGACTGTCCCGTCTCCAGGGAGGCTTCTCACAACCCAACACAAGGACTCTGACACGGAAGCACCTCTGGGGGTTCTCCTTCTCCCTCCACCCGGCTGGGCTGGGCGCAGTGCAGGGTGTCAGGGCGGGAGGGTGGAGCGAGTGGGGGACGGTCAGCTGCTGACCGTGCTTCACCCACTTGGCAGCAGTCCGGGGCTGGTGCCAACGCAGATGAGGCAGCCCGTCCTTTGGGGCCTACAGACCCTCACAAAGGCTGTGCCCACATGTCCATACCAAACGACACCGGGTGGCCAGACTTTGAAGGTTCTCTTCTGTCAGTGAGTGTTGTCCATCTTTAACTCTAAAGGCTCTCGTCGCAGGCCCCCTCTTGGGTTCTTCTGTCCCCATCCGCTACCAGCTACAACTGCTCTCCGACCTGGGCCCAGCTCTCCTGGCAATTGTGTTCTGGGCACGAGGCTCTGGCCCAGGAAAGTGTTTCTAGCTTGCTGACTGCTTTAGTGATCTCACCCTGAATGGACCCTCTAAAGCAGGGGTTCTCACTGGGAGCAACTCTGCTCTCCTAGGGGAACATCTGCCAATGTTCGGAGACATTTCTGAAGGTGACCACTCATGGGAGTGGGGTTCATGTTACTAGCACTTAGCGGGTAGCAGCCAGAGATGCTCTTAAATATCCTACAAAGCGTAGGACAGCCCCCAAAACAGAGAATTATCTGGCCCTGAATGTCAATGGTGGCTCAGGTTCAGAAACCCTGATCTGAAGAGAAATATTACAATGGTTTCATTGTTCCGTACAATGAAATACGGAGTTCATCCGTATTTCAGAAGATTTTACAAGAGTGAGCTTAAGTTACAGGATAACTGTGGATTTTGGTAACAACAGTCTAACCCTGAATTAGCAATGACTTGGAGGCCCACAGAGTGGCTTCTTCCTTGCTTGCTCCCCCTCTTCTCCTCCCCCTGGTGTGGGATCTCTCTCTCCATCCCATCTCGCTCCTACTCCCTGATCCTCAGATGGCCTGGCTCCTGCTGGGGACACCCTGCCCTGCTGGGGAGGGTGACAGCTGCAGGGAGCGCTAGACAAGCAAGCTGTAAAGTCTCCACCGCAGGTGGCATTCTCACTCGGGGTCGCTGTGAACTCAGCAAAGGCCAGCTCAAGGACACCATGCTGCAGAAGGTGGCCCCTAGCCCTCGAGAACCAAGTTGACGAAAATCTCATATTGTACACTTTTGAAAAGAATGCTATCACTGAGTGAAGACTACCCAGGAAGAGGTACTTGGCATAGCAACAGGCTGTCTCTACTGTGAAGAGACACCAGGAGCCGCCCTAAATGCAGCAGCAACGCTCACAAGTCCTCGTGCAGACGGGGCTCTGCCAGTCCCGGCCGGTGGCGGCCGACTCCACCAGGCCGAGGGCCGCGCCGGCCGAAGGACCAGCGGCTGCCCCACACGCACCCAGGGCTGAGCATGCTGGTCGCGACAGGATGTCAGAGTGGGGTGTGTGTGTGTGTTGGGGGACGGGGGGGGGGGTCTTATTTCTGAGCCACTTGAAAAGGATCTGCTGACAAATTTTCAGAATTTACAAAGTTTAATGTTATATCTGAGCTTTCTAAACTTTCGTTTAAAACATGAACTGACCATGAAGCTAGTTTTCATGTAAAGAGCATGTCCAGTGTTTCCATGGAGGGGTAAGACTGACAAGTATGAAGTATGGAAAACGAACTCACAGTACAGGGCCTCGGACAAGGGAGCCCCAAGCCGCACACGGAGAGGAGCTGCAGGAAGACCGGGAAGGGGGACAAGCCCCTCACACTCAGACGGGAAGACAGAAGCCCTCCCACAACTTACTCTTAGCACTGAACTTGTTTTCTTTCCGAGTTCTGCCAGTTTTCTTCAAACAGTTGTCACACACAAAGCTGCAAAAAAAGAATGGGTGTGATCAGAGTGTATGAAATAGTCTACTCTGCCAAACCAGCGACATGCAGCTGGGAAGTGCTTTGTTGGCATCACTATTCGCAAGTGAAGAGGCAGGCTGCTTTGAGTCTACAATCCCTAAAGCAGGCCGATCCTTAGGATGTAAAAAAACTGAGAACCGGCTGCCACCGTCCCCCGCCCCCACCCTAGCCCTTGCTGAGCCCTCATTGACAGGCAACAGCCAATGCCCAGCAGCACGCCCCTCTCTCCAGTCCCGGCAGAGAGGCTTTCCCTTCCCCAGGATCACAGGAAATCACCAGGAAACTACTCACCCTGAAGGCCAGATGATGTCATAGTGCAGAACACAAATCTGATGCATCTTCCGGCCACACTCCTTGCAATCAACAAAACTGGAAGACAAAGAGAGTGTGTCTAACGCACATGGAAGCACGCAAGGGGGTCGTCTGTAGGAGCCTGCATACCACATTCGCGCCTCATCCTCTGAATCACTGCCTGTATTGTGGTGTTAATGCTTCTGCCAATTGATTCAGCCACATTTTACTTCCCTTTTTCTTCTAAGGTTAAGCTCTACGCCCAACGTGGGGCTCGAACTCACAACTCCAAGATCAAGTCGCATCGGTATGATACTTTCTATGAGAAAGCGGACTTCCTCCATTTCTCTGTACAAATGCCTATCCCTTGCTTCTCCCAATCTCCTTGACAACCAGAAATCAAACTTTACTTTCAAAAACTGCTATGATATAGGCGGATTTTAGAGGCCAGTATTTCTGACATGACTACACATTTTCAAGACCAGTGCTTGCACTGGTGACCGCACAGGCCCAAACTGCCTCAAATAACAGAGAACAATGCTTCCAGTGTCAGAAACACTTGCTCTTAAGCCTAGGCGCAGGAAGCATCTGCTCGGAGCCAGCTACAAAGGTGGGAAGTGTCAAGCTGACTGGTAAATGCCAGGCTTTATTCACGTAAGCACCAGACAGCAGGGGTATACCGCTCCGCTCACCCTCTGTAGCAGCCCCCACCCTGCCTCACCTGGGCCCTGTCACCTCACTTGGGACTCTTAGTTGCCAACATGCGTGGACATCAAAACCTATTTATTCAGCCACTCCCTTAACTACCACCACAACTTATGCCTTATGACCAGCTTATCAGAGAGGTTCTGACAGAACGAGAACATCCATCTAATCTTATCACTGTTGAAATTCAGTAACTGGAGAGCATGCTACAGGGACATACATGTTTTGTTGGAGTTTTAAAAACTGCCCGTATCTGAAATAACTTCATACAAAAAAATCCCACCCAGGGCAACGTATTTCCAATGTTCCAACAGTGTCTTCTGCAGGCCAGTCACGAGGAGGGATTTTCCTGATCGGAAACTAAAATCCAAGAGTCAGAAAGAAATCACTATCTACTCACGGTTCAGGATCTAAGGTATCATTTTTCTTCTTTTCAAACTGATCCTTTGAAATTGTCCTTGTTTAAAAAAAAAAAGAAAAGAAAAAAGAGAAATGTTAATTAACAAAATTTATCTGCTGAGTCTAAACTACAGGGTCTGTGGGATATTATTTTGTAACTTTTTTCAAATAAAAAGTAAAAAATGGTCAGCTGAAATCTCAAGTAGATGTAATGATGGCATGAATATATAAAATTTATCTCCACAGAAAGCACTACCATCTGTTTTTCTCCATCTGCCTTGGGATATTTCCTCCCAACTACCACCAGCACTTACTCTGAGATCCAAACCTATAAATTTTCAATCAAATCTGTATGGTGAATGGCTCCTGCATCTGATGGATAATTGGCATATTCAATTCTTCTAATTACAATAGAATTAGCTGACACAAGATCAGCATCTACTAGGGGATATTTTATTTATTCTTAAAGGACCGAGGACCTGGTTCTATACTGTCTGTCCTTTTGTTATGATCAGCGTATATATGAATTACTTCTGATTCATGGAACTGTATAACCCAATTATCAATCACATAACTGGACCAAAGAATTAAGATTAAAAGAGACATAAAAATAAATTATGTAGAATTTCAGGCATTTCTGTTTATGTGTCTCATGAATGGCTACGGTTTGTTCTGTGTTTGGATACAGTAAACGTGAAGTGCAGAGTCCGCGTCCTAGACTGCTGGAAGCTGCTCTGGTGGGAAGCCCTCCTGCCTGTAGGGACAGTCCCGCGAGCAGACTTCCCAGCAGGGCAGGAATCACGGCAGAGTCAGGAGAAAAGAGAGAACCCCAAAATGCTGGCAGTCCTGGGTAGACACGGTGGCTGGCAGGTTTTTGGTATCTCAAGCACATAAAGGAGTTGACCATTCAATTAGTGGATTTGCTCTTTCTGGCCACATTCCGACTATGTGACCACTCAAAGGCGAACTCAGTGAAGGAATGAATGAACCAACTCATGCCTGTGCATGCCAGAGCACATGAGCAAGAGCCACCGCTCCAGCAAGGAAGGAGACATGTTTCCTCTCTGGGGTCTCACAGTCTGCGTTCTAGGACAGAGGTTTCAGTGGAAGATGGAATGAATGCTGAAGATGGGGTATGTACGCAAGATTCATTTCTCGCTACTGCCAGGTCTGTCAGAAGGGTGAACTGGTTTCTGAGGTGTAAGTGAAAATTTACAATTTCTCCAAATGGAGGAGGACCACCACTAGGAAAAGCCAAGTATTTTAAAAGAAAAGACAGAGCAAGGTCGAGAGAGACCGGAGAGCTGCAGTGGGGGCTACAGCATCACGGTCTTCAAAGGAGGGGAGAATGTGGAGGTGGCCCTGGTGTCCAGCTAAAGAGCTGCATTCCAAAGAATGAATGTGGGTGTAGTTGAGTATGAAAAAATGCACCAGCATGGCGGAGGTGCTTCCCTTTTAGTCATGGGCAAGAGGAAAAAAACAAGAGTCAACCCCGAGAAAAATGACAGGATAGTACTTACGTCTGGGGCTGTGAAGGGTCGTCACCCAGGGTAACATTCTCCCCCTGGATCTCTGTGAAACACTTCTCACAGAAATGATACCTGTCAGCAAGAAGGCCATACTTGGGTGAACTGGTCCATCATAACACACAGCCACCCAAGCAACGAAGCCACCAATCAGAGCAGGGCAGATCACCACGACGAAGGGGGGGCGTTGTTGGTTGATTGATGGGTCAGTGAGGACAATGGAAGGAAGAGGGGCAGGTGGGGAAGGGCAGGATTAGAGAACAGGGAAGGGAACAGATAGCAGAGACACAGAGGTAAGACGCAAACACCGAGACAACACAGAGCAGAAAGCCAAGGCAAAGCTTGATTAGCATTCGGTCTCACTGCACACATCACAGGCCATCATCGCTAACAACGGCTGGGCTCGGGCCAGCTCCAAGATGCAAACGTTTTCGAGGAGTTGTTAATACTAGAATTGCAAGGAGCCTTAATTTAGGAGTTTGACTTTTGTTATTACTTAGAGAAAATCAAATATAACTCCAGGGTTTGCGATGGAAAAAAATTCACTTTTGAACAAAATAGTCTCACAAAGGCCTTAAAAAAGCAATTATTTTTCAAAATGGCAAATTTATGCTTGACAGCAATTCACAGATTTTATTTCCGGTAGTAAGCCAGATCTTTAAAGGTACTAAAAATGTTGAGGACGCAGAACTGGTTTTAATTTTTTCCTGTTATTTTTCTCATGTTAATCACTTAGTTAATTGGGTTATAATACAAATGAAACCAAATCCATATTCTAGACAAACATTTAACAGAAACGCAGTCAGGGTCAAAGACTTTCCAGCCATTTATCAGTACGAATGTACAGAGAAAAAAAGCTGAGATATATTGTATAAGCAATACAATATATGTAAATCCATGAACAATCTTAAAGACTTTTAAAATTCAATTCTAAGCTTTGGTTTAAACTTTTTGGTAATGGGACAAATCGTTCACCAATCTGAGATCCTCAGTGATTAACTGCTCTGACTTGGTGACAATCCAAGTTAAGCAAATTTAGAGAGTTGATCTTTAAAGCACAATCTGCATTTGAGAAATTATCCATCACCCCAATTTCTTGAAAGATAATATGGAGCCTGGGCTCGAAGTATCAAATAAGAACAATTAAAAACTATTAAATGTTTGGAAAGGACACGCATGAGAAATCAACAAAAATGCAGGCTAATGCTGCATAAAACAAGATGGGCACACAGGAGTACTGTCAAAATAAACAAGCTGAAGGGAGGTGAATGATACAAGCGGAAAGGAGGAGTAGAAGGTAGTGGCAGCAGCACAGTCAAATGCGGTTTTAGTGCTCAAAACTACATCTACAAGATGCCACGAGGATTAGTGTTAAAGACACTGTGACGAGACTTGGAGCGCCACGCCACACGGACACGCGCAGGGGACGCGGCAGCTTGCAGGCTCACTCACGCACGCGCACACACAGCTGCAAAGGACGGAGGCTCAGGCCCCTGGCTGGCCGTCTGTCTCCGTTACTGCTCAGGTCAGTCCCCCTCAAGTTCTAATTCTAGTCTGAATTAAACACACTGAGCATTTTGTCTGTGTACTTCTCTGACTAAACACACAGAGTCAATTAAAAGCACGAACTTTAGAGCATGCACCCATCTCAAAATGATCCGATCTTTTAAATTGTTAAGGAGGAACATGACAGATTCACTGTGGGTAGCAACTGGATTAATGAAAGTTTCTTCTGGGACCAGTTTATTTAGAATGATTCAATCAACGAATTCTGCCAAGATTAAAAACTCTGACCAGGAACAAACATTGCTGTTTAAAAGTATCTATATCTATATGTTCTTCTCCTGAATCAACTGGCTATCACTATTTCATAAATATTCATATGGAGCCTTGAAATCATGTGGTAAAAAGAATTTCCATGTGCAGGAGGGCGTGATCATCACTGGCACGAAAGAATTAAAGTACAGAAACCATAAACCAATTCAGGGGTGACCAGGGCAATATGCAAAAAAGATATCCCCCTCAACAGCAAGTGTCTCCCTTTTGAAAATAAAACTTGGACTTGACTGTTCCAATTCATTTTATGACCAAACATATAGCCGCTGTGGGTGAGCGAAAAGCTGAACTCTTCTGGAAACGAAATCACCACGATAATTACACATGAGGCAAAACGACTTTAAAATCCTGGACAAACTCTTAGCTTTTATTCAAGCAGGGTATCAAGCCCAGGAACACCAAGGAAACAAGAATCTTAAGCCCACCGTTTTCTCGCGGCGGAAACCGGCCCAGAACACAACACTGATGGCTCAAGGGCAGGCCCTGCAGTGGCGGAAGCCTACACTTTGTGTAACTAGCTCTCATCTGCAAAGAACCTCAGCGTCAGAAAGTGGGAGGCACAGAGAGAGTTAACACGCTCTAGTGCCTGTCCCAGAGCAAGTGGAGACATCAGAGACATTGGAGAATCGAACCTGCTGGGGTTTGAGAATGGGAGGGGAAGGCCCAGGCTGCCCTTCAGTGTGCCCTCCTGAGAGGTGGTGACAGTCTGGAGAAGGGGCACAGCCACCCACTGGTCAAGTGTGCTGAAACCACCTTGGCAATCAGTGGGGGACAGATGGGAATGCCAGGCTGCCCCCACATTATTACCTAGTCCAAACTTTTTCACCCTAAAAATACAGAATGGTTCAGAAAGTCACTTTTCAATCTTAAGAGCCTTGCTGACATTAGCCTTGTGTGAAGGAAGCAATTTCATGAATATGGAATTGCAAAGGAGAAATACTTCACATAATCCGATGATGATGTGCATCTGGGTACCTAAAGTTAGCACAATGTAACTGCATAGTTTATCTACAAGGGTAACGTATGGAGTAAATTTTCAAATGCAGATTGTTTTAAGTACCATATCAGTATATACAAATAACTGGGACATCTAAAGATAGTATCTGGAAAATCCATATAGCTGTTTTCTCAACATGAGTTACTTTCAAATTTTCAAAGCATGGAAACAAGTGAAAATGTACTCATATGCTAGTTTAAATATTAATTTCACTTGTTTAAATGGTCTGTAGGACTTTCTATTGTTCGAAATGCCCAAACAGTTTAGGACCATAAGTGCCAAAACAGTTACTCATGAGAACACCGGTGTTGCTAAGTAGCCAAAGATGCGAATAAAAGTGTCAGCAGTCAGGATGCTGATCATAATTAGGCCACTGCTTTCTTAGCATGACAACACGTTACTCTCTCCAAGTACAGTATTCTAGGAAGCACACCTTGTGAGATTCATCTAAGGAGCAGTATGCCTACACTTTAAAAATGTATCACTAACAGAACAGAACTCCTTTATTTCTCTACTCATAAGAAAAACATTATTACTTTTGCTGAGTAAAGATAAAATTCTACACAAAAACTAAAACTGGGTATTTCAGAGCTTTCAAAACAACCCCGTGTTTTCACTCCACGCATAACCTCCTGTCAGGAGAGTAGCAGTGTAACCTGATCCTATCAACTCTATTTAAATTAATTGCTCTCCACTTAAAAATGGCCAAAATCTGTGCAAATCAGCAAAGGCAGGGTTTCAACGGACCCGGAGACAGTGAAAATGCCCCAAACTTTAGAAATGGTGGCAAACAACCTGCTGTCTGTTCTTCCCTCTAGACCCAAACCACGCTGGGCAACCAGTAGCAGGGGCATTTTTCAGGGAATAGTTAACTGAAATCTGTTCTCTTGAAGTTTCATAACTTTATTTTGCTTGGCACATAAAAGTTTCCGAAGGGAATTCCTGATCGTTATTTGACAGAAAGTGACAATTGAGGTTGTCAGGGAAGGTGTTAAACTTGGTATGTTATGGAATGTGCTGAACGTCACGGGGCTAAAACTCACCGGCGGGGCCAGAACCCCCAGAACAGCACGTGTCACTACAGGAGTGACTCTATCACGAAGGACTGTAGTATTATTTCAAACGCTCCTACTGATAGAAGGGAAGCCAGAACAGGAATTAAGTCCAGGCATGAACGTATTTTTAGGACAGGGGCATAGGCCACACTCCTGTTCCCCCAGAACAAGCACCAGCATCTCATGCTGCCACCGTGCCAGGATGAGGGGGCCGGGGAGGGCTTAGAAATCGCACCTTGAGGCATTTTTAGGTCAACAGTTCTTTCTCTCTCTCTTTAAGCAGGATTTTGATGGGAGTTACTAATTATTTTAAATATGATTAGATTTTTTAAAAAAATTCAGGTACTTTAAAATCCTAACTAGAAGATAAATATTTCAAAATTCCAAATTATTCAGGCCTGTGGACATATCTCTGAATAACAAGAAGCCCTTTCCTGATCTTCCTCGAAATATGAGAACATAGGTAATCACTATAAGCAAATAAGATCAAGTAATCAAAACATCAAACCCTAAACGTTGATGCTTAATACTTGAATCTAAAGAGGAACAAGAGGCACAAAGTGGCACCTTGGTCACATACATTTCACCACCTGTTCCTAACATGCAGGCAAAGTAATTGAATGTGACTGAGATTTACCACCTGTGCCTCCAGGCACGACACCCTCACGCTATGGCAACGTGGGGCCACTTGGAGCAACAGATACAACTAACTTTAATTTTCAACCCCCCCGCAAACTGTGGAAGTCGTATCTGTATGGCAAATGAGCAACAAAAAATATTATTTTCATTCTCTTCTGCTTAAGACAGGAGATTCAGCCATCTTCACATTTCAAGAGAATGGCAAAGATTTCTCGAGGATGCCTCCCACTCACAAAACCCTGAAACTGCCATTCTGTGACAGCAGAGTTCACGTGGAACTCAACAAGAACACTCAGTGTTGTGCTATTAGTTAAAAAAAAAAAATTCTTTAAGTCTAAAGCTTTTAGTACTTTTTTAGATAAATTATCACTAAATCAAATCTTTCCATCAAACTGTCCAGGCCAAGTACATGCGAAATAGTGAAATACAATGTATCCACTTTACTAAGATCTTCAAAAAGGTAAAGCTCCCTTTATTAGACTTACTCTCACTTGCAGACTCTTTCTTATGTGGTTCCTTTTGGGAAAGAGCACACCTTAAGAATGAATGCTCCTGATTCAAGTAGTGCAGTGAGCAGTTTTGAGTTGAAGTTTTTATACTGTAAAAGAGTGCTTTAAAGTTAAGAGACCGAGGGCCTATCTGAGTGACTGAGCAGCACTGAAACTGTGGCCTGTTTCATTAGAACTTCACAAGAGAAATAATGTACCCAGGCTACCATCAGATGAACACGCCTTGTCCTAAGACCATCCTTTGATCCTGTAACTCGGGACATGGGCCCGGGGCTTACCTATTCTGATAGCTGTAGTAGGCAGCGTCACGAGGAATTGTACACAGCTGCTTCCCGTAGCAGCACAAAGTCTGTGGGGAAAACTCATACTGCAAAAACAAAGGAGAAAATACTAAAAATATATCCTAGTTACTGTCACATCATATTCTAGTTCATTACGGAGAGTTAGATTCAGCTAGTAAAATATTTCTGTTAGCACACGGGATAGTTTTCTAACAATTTTCACAGCTATTTAGAGACGTTTTTGGATTCAATGTGACAGAATCAGTTGCCGGGAGACATTACAGATGGATAAATGGACGCAAGGGCGGCCAGAAAGGCGTAACCCAAGGTCTTCTCCAGTAAGCGCCTCTAGCTTTGATCATCCATTACATGGCTTCAGGCAATCAACTGTTTTTACCAAAGCCCAGACCGCATCTGGGTCCTTCCCAGCACAAAGGTGTGGCCAAAATGTTGAGTCTATCATGTCATCATAATACCCTCTCTGGTTCGATTAACCAGGGAAGTTCACTTTCCAGAAAAAGTTTAAACTGTACCTTGCGTCCACAGCAATATCCAAGGGACTGCATAACAGGGTCAATTTCTTGCTCAAAGACCTCGGCAAGTTTACTGCAGAACTTATAGACCCGGGACGTCTTACGATTATAGAGCCAGGCATTGTTGAACATAAGCCAGACATCGTCCACATACTGCCAGGGTTCTTGGTACTGCCCTGTATCCAGCTTCCGTTTGATGGTGGAAAGGTCCATGGGATTCTTCACAATGTCAAAATAATCCTTAAACACAAAATCGTTTCAGTCTAGTGGATCCCCCAAATACCAAATGCCAGCCTAATGCAGCAGCTTTATCTTAAAAAACGAAATAGAAATAATCAGCCCCAGACAACCTCCATTTTTAGTAGTAATAAATGGGAACTAAAGAGAAAACAGTCTCTGACCTTCCTCTGATTTTATTATCTAAAATTGTAATTAGTATCGTCAAGTGTGACCAAATTATTTCAAAAGCAAAATTAAGGGCAAAATAATATCAATATATTATTTAATAAAAGAATGGGTTAAAAAAATTTTTAATACAGAATTTTTAAAATATGGATTTTAATCCACTAAATTAAAAAGGTAAGCACACTTATCAGACATTGTTTTTTTAGAGATTTACTCTTGGTCCTGGCAAACAAGATGAAATTCCAAGACAAACATAAGAACAGAAACAAAAATAGTGACACTGGCTCAAGAGAAACCTGTGGGGTTGCCATGGCCCTTACAAGACTCCCCAGAAATACCAGAACAAGACCCACATGCTAACTGGTGTCCACCAGTTCTTCAAATCCCCCCTTTCAGACGAAGGCTCACACAGAGCCCCAGACAGACAGCAAGGCTACGGAGGCCGCGCACAAAGGCAAGCAGGCGGTGCGCCCCTGCCACAGACCCCCGGGGCTGACAGAACAGGCGGGGAAACGCACATTCCAATCAATGAAACAAAGATGTATTACTGTTTTGACAGAAAAGTTTTTTTTATAGGAGAAAAATCTTCAAAACAAGGGTTCGTTACCCAATTTTCAGAGATAAAACATGGATATTCTAAGTATCGCTGGTAAGGCTTTCTTTTTATTATATTAACTTACCGGAATTCCTAGGAGCTGAGGATCTACAGGCTGCCGAAAAGGTAGGGACTCCGGATCCTGTCGATACAGCGCTTCGAGGGTTGGCATCAGAGCCTGGCGTAACTCCTCTGGCTTAAAGACTACGGTTAGAAAACATCAGGAAGTGACCCTACTTACAAGGCGCTCAGACTCTTTGTCCATCACATTTCAAATGGAAGCCTGGGCTGCTTCTAGAAGGCCCCAATCATCTCCACCCCAAGCCGTGCAGCTCCCAAGGGCTCTCATTCACTGCAGAGTCCATGGACATTCTCAAGCTACAATTCGGGGCTTCTGAAAACACCGTTACATTAGGGTTTTAAAACTGCTTCTACGTCACAAGGCTAAATATCACTCTTTAAGTTTGCTTTTTCAATAATAAGGGTTTCCAACGTTAAAACTGTGCTGCAACAGAAAATGAAGCTAACTCCCAAATCTGATTTCCTTGATCCAGTGGGTGGTAATAAAGCCATTTCACTGGAAGGGGGCCTTTCTTCCTCTGATGAAATTTGTCTGTCCTTGGACGAAGTAAACTCCAGACACCTGGGACAAATGGTTTTGTCTTACAACCTCACAAACAAACGTACATAGTAACAGAGAAACAAAATCAAGTTTTTCCCCAAAACTTCTGAATCGTTCCCTCCTACATTTACCAATGCCCATTCCTTCCACCCCTCAGCCACTCCATTTCCTACTACACCTTGTGTTGTCACCAATCAAAGGATAAACACTGGCTGCCACGTACATTCAAGACGATACATTCATACAAAACCCAATGAATTTTACTGACCGGGGAAAAAGTGTGTAAGAACCTGTGAAGGCAAGAGGCAGGTCGGTGAGCAGCGCTTGTGTTCTGCTGCATCCCGCTTTAGAGATGGGACCACTGCTGGGGGCCGGTGAGCAGATGTGCCCCACGGGAGCCTCACGAAACACATACACATCCTGCCTTCAGCTAGCTCCTTTTCTTCTACTGTTTTTACAGTAATGGGAGTAGCATTTGGTTTTTTTTGAATAATTCTTTCCAAGAGAACAATTCTTTAATTGATAGCGTTTTCCTTCCTCTTAGGCCAGGGGTCAGCAAACTTGGACCCACTGGCCCAATCTGACCAGCCACTGCCTTTGTATAGCTCATAAGCTAAGATTGGGTTTTGTGGTGTTTCATGGTTAGGAAAAAAAGAAAAGAATAATATTTCATGATACACGAAGTCAAATTTTAGTCTCCAAAAATAAAGGTTTGTGAGAAGGCAGTTATGCGCATTTGCTCACATACTGTCTGCAGCGGCTTTCACACCACGAAACATTCTGGCGCACAAAGCCCGAGGGGCGCGATCGGGCTCTTCTCAGAGCCTGTGGCGAGCCTGCTGCAGGGCCCATCATCTCCTAGGGGCAACCTCACACGCACGTCACTTTGGTCAGTTGCTCATTACTCACTACACATTTGCTGAAAACACCTATGCCAAGGAAAAAGCAGCTCCAAACTCCTGTCTTTAGCCACCGGCCTGATGTAAAATCACTTCCTCAGTCACACCTGCCACATTTCAAGTGCTCAGGAGCTACATGTGGTTGGTGACAACTACAGAGAGCACAGACATGTAACGTTCCTGTCGTCACAGAAAGTTCTAGCACTGCTCCAGGCCCTTTCTAAAAAAGAACACCCACACACCCCACCACCTGCTCAGTAGTTTCACATATAGGTCCTCCTAGTTTGGAATGAGAACCTCCTTGAAAATTGGGGAAAAAACCAAATTGCTCAGACGGCCAAGTAGGTGAAGTCACTGACGCAGCAGGAGGTGTGTGAGCCAGCAGGGAGGAATGGGGACTCAGGCAAACTGGAGAGCCCAAGCCCCAGCTGAGGCTCCCACCGGAATGCAAGTGCAATGTTGACAGAGCTTCTCATTTTCAAAGAAAAGCCAGAAATTCAGTTTTATTTGTAATTCCTCGTTTTTAAAAATACTGTGTGGGTCGAACAAAACATGTCTATGGGGCTGGATCCAGTTTTCAAGGGTCTGTGCAACCAAGTTTACTTCCATAACATAAAATGATTTTCCTGATAACACTAGGCCGTCATCCGCCTGGTGCACCGTGTTGACGCCGGCATAAACGGGCAAAAGGAACAAGAAAGTCACTCGCACCGCAGCACAACGCAGGCAGCGGCACCAACGCTGCATTAGTTGTCATCGTGCTCTCAAGCCCTGGCTACGTGTCTGGATTTTGAACAACCAAACAGGAAGCTGGCAGTCCTGACAGAAAGCGCTCGTGTGTGCAAAGCTGAGCGTGGAGGCAGCTGCTTCTCTGCACGGAGCACAGAAGACTGGGGAGATTAGACGAGCTATGGGTATTCAGATCTGGGCAAGTAGCAGACATTTTCCCAAAAAGGAACTAAGTGGGCCAGTGACACCAAGGACAACTGACAGTATTTATTGCTAATGGTAAAGTTTGGACTTACATCAAAATTAGAATTTGGAGGACTTGTATCTGTCACGTGAGTTTGACAGCCTTCCCAAATTCCCAAGACTTTTTTGAGGAGATTCATAGTGCTATTAATCAATGTGATTTTTAGAACTATCGTACAGGGAAGTGTGGTGACATCTGGAAAATCTGTGTAACTCATGAGCCAAATTCCAAGATGACCAAAGGATCATGTTATTAAAAAAAAAAAAAAAAAATTCACACAAGGGCAAAGGATTTGTTCACAGCACAAGACAGAGGGACTCTAACGTCACTGGGCAGGAAGAACTCAGAGCTATGCATCCAGACTTCACATGGAAACTAATCTTTAGGAAACTTGTACGCTTGTTGAGTTTTGGTGTAGTATTAAAAAAGAACACCCACAATTATCTGAAAAAGCTTTCTTTTATCAACCAGCTATCTGCGTGGGGCAGGGCATGCACCAAACAACGCAGCACAACAGAGACAGCAGCGGCAGCAGGAGAGTCCAGCCACGTCCGCCGAAATCTCCGAGTCGCAAAACTGTACACAAAACAGTCACTACTCTAAGTATGTTTGTTGTGGGAAACTTATTTTTCATAAAAATGTGTTATTCGTGGATGCCATGTAACAGATTTGTTAAACGAATGTTTTTAAAATTTCTAATAGAGTAAATAGTGACAGATAATCCATACGAACAATAACTCCGGGGTCCTCAATTTTTAGGAGCATAAACAGGTCTTAGACCAAAAACTTGAAAGCTTCTGTAGGTTCTCCCTCCCCGTGGCAAAACTATACAATATCAGCCTCTCACAGTTCTCTGCTGTGTTTCTCAAATGTGCCACAAGCAGCCCTTAACTTCTGAGCCACATCCCCCATTTGCAAGGGTCACCTAACAACGTTCTGACACCCTGTTCACCTCCTTACGGTGGACCTCCAATGGGTTCCCTCCAACTCCCTCTGTGAGGCTGGCTCAGCCAGCACATCTCAGAGCCCAGAGCATCTTCACTTATCACCCCACGAGGCCACTGGGTCCTACCGCACAGCGCACTTACTCTGGGCACACAGTCTCCCATCTGTAACAGTGCGCACATGTTCTGCCATGGTGGTAACTTCCCTCGCATGGCTTTCGGGCAATCTCCTGCTCAAATCTATCGTGCTTGTCCACAGCCTGCTGAGTAAAGAAAGCCCAAACTTCTTGGCAGGCACAAGGATTCAGATGCAACCTCTACCCTGGCCCCACAGCCAGTGACAGCTCAGAGGAGAGATGTGCTCCTGGGCTGCCCCTCAGAGACGTGGCTCGTTTCTCATTCCTACTATAAACCCAGTGGGCCCTCGGGCTGGAATCTCGCTCGCTGTCACCATTTCTGAAAAGGTAAAACTTGGGGAATGGCAGGCAGCAAAGATAAAAGCTTTAGTTTTTAACCCGCAGTGTGCAATCACAACATGACGGGAAGGCAGCACAGTTGAAAAGTTCAAGGAAACATGGCCTACTTTTCTTGCGTGGCTGTGAAGGAGATGTTGACTGAGAGGCGGCCCCATTAGCGTTGTTCTCTTCTTCCTCTTTAGCTTCTACTTTGACTTCCGGTTTCTTCTCATCCACTTCCATCGGTTCTGATTTCTGTTCTGTTGTGTCTGTTTCTTCTTTAACTTGAGAAGATCCCTGTAGATCCTCCTCCATCATCTTGAGAAAAACAGAATTAGAGACAACGATGTATGAATAGCAAAGAACTTTATTCTAACTCAGCCTCTCTGGAAGTCTCTCAACCATCTATCTGGGCTCGTCAAACCGTCTCCTACTCAGAGCTGTATTTACCATCCTTTCCTCTCCCCCAGGGAGGAATGGAGCATCTGGGGCCGGGTGAGTTGCCTTAATACAGCACCACTGCAATCAGAATCCTGATTCAAAAAATTTACATGCTTGAGTGCTTACAAGACACTGCATCCACACACCCCACCACCTGCTCAGTAGTTTCACATATAGGTCCTCCTAGTTTGGAACAAGAACCTCCTTGAAATTTGGGGAAAAAACCAAATTGCTCAGACAGCCAGGCAGGTGAAGTCACTGATGCAGCAGGAGCTGTGTGAGCCAGCAGGGAGGAATGGGGACTCGGGCAAACTGGAGAGACCAAGCCCCGGCTGAGGCTCCCACCCAGACTGCTGCCACAGGAATGCAAGAGCAATGTTGACAGAGCTTCTCATTTTCATAGAAAAGCCAGAAATTGAGTTTTATTTGTAATTCCTCGTTTTTAAAAATACCGTGTGGGTCAAACAAAACACGTCTATGGGGCTGGATCCAGTTTTTAACTTTTGCCACAGGTTAGCGAACGAGCACACCCTTGTGCAGCCCAACACTGCAGAACTACGTATGAACGAAGAATGGCAGTGAAGAGTCACTGGATGATTCAGTCATTTAAAATATAAACCAGTACTCTTATTTCTAGCAAAATAAAGTAAAACCCATACCTGATACCTAAAAATAACCACTCTATTTTTAACCTCTATCCTCTCTGAACCCATAATCAAACAGGGTATTAAAGCAAAAAGCAGCGTCATCCATGGAGGACCCGAGATGTTTCCCCTTAGCACACTTGAGTGACATTTCTGCGTGCTGCACATCTGCTCATGCCCTGGAATGGCACTTACCGCAGACCCAGGCTCCCCCTTGGAGTCACTGGCATCGGGCTCAGCATCCTCAGTCTTGACCTCTGTCTTCACTTCCAGCATTGGTACGTCGGGTCCTGGCTGCTGGGAGTTGGTTTCAGCACTGGCCACCGAGGAAGGAGTGGGGACCCTGTTATCGATGCTGGCGGCTGCCTGGGAAAGCTGTGGAGAAACCAAAATTATTTATCTCCATTACTAAGACAACAGAAATGCTGTTAAACTCTATTGTTCACCCAATACACAGTTTCATATTAACATTTTTCAATACTAAACTAACAGACAGCCCTATCTGAGAGAGCTAAAGAACAGAAAACTTAAAACAGGAGTCCCAGAGGAAGTTAACATCATGTAGAAACACAAAGAACTTCCTACCAACAATGTAGAGATGGAAGAGCAGGGCTTTTCACATTTTGATATAAGACTATTTTCTGGAAGTTTCTACCTGAGTCACAGAACCGCCTATTTTAAAATTAATTCCTTCCAATAAGGTCATTACACTTTACTGTAAAATGCTGAACTGTAGATATAGAAGTATACATGTAGAAGGGGAATGAAGTGCCTACATGAAGAATGTGTAATTAGCCTGTTATAACTGCAGGGGCAGGGGCGGTGGCAGTGGTGGTGGAGTAAGCAAACATCAAGGTAAAGAACCACCACAAGAACTCTCAATTTTCAAAGCCTTACTCATAGTTTTTTTTTTTTTTTTTTTTAAAGATTTTATTTATGCATTTTAGAGAGCGAGCGAGCCTAACGGCATTCATGAGTCAGGAGAGGGGTAAAAGAGGGAGGGAGAGGGACAAGGAGACTCTGTGCTGAGCTCAGAGCCCGAAGACCCTGAGATCACGACCTGAGCCGAAACCAAGTTGGACGCTCAACCGACTGAGCCACCCAGGGCACCCCTGCCTCACAGAGTTCTAATTCAACTAAACAAAAGGGAATATAAAATTACAAAGGAATCTTATTTAAAAATAAGAAATATAAAATAAGGATAAATAATAAACATACTTCCTGTAGAGAAATACATAAGGTAATGTTATCTTGGGGGTGTTGTTAAGATTTTGGTATTTTATAAATAAATATCCTCAGTCCCTAAGAATAAAGTTAACATATTTCAGGGGGAAGGGTGGTTTCTAAGGCAGGATGATATGAAAACAGATGTGAAGATTTCAGTGGCAAATGGGGCAGGGGTGTGGGGGGTGGCGAATGGGCAGCCTACAGCTGGGCATGGCCAGCAAGCAGGTCCACGGAGGATTGGGCAGACATGAGCCACAGAAAGCGCTAACCTGGGTCTGCCATTTTGTCGTGAGAAGAATAGGCTCCAGTCTGAAAACAAGGCTGACAGGCAAAGTCAAAGCACATACAATTAGGAACGAGACTTGTTTACCATATCCTCAGAATGTTAAGAGAAATACTACTAACACTCAGAGGACACCCACCTAGGACAGATAATGGGGAACACACAGCTCCTACGTACAGGCAGAGGACCCACGTATGATTTCTTTATAACTGCTAATTCCTAAAAACTCGTTTAATGAGAGAAGATAATCTTAAGTCACATCCTGCCAAGCACAAACATGGCCTTTGGAGCCAATGTCAGGGACAAAATACAGCTCCTATGGTTTGATTAGGGGACAGATACTCTCTGGGCTTGCGCCAAGACACTAAGGCAACTTTGTGACAGGATTTTTTTTATGAAAAAGTTCTCGATCAGGAGGCTCAGCCCAAAGACAGACTGCGGGGCTCACCGGTGTGCCAGGAGGCTGGGTGTGCACAGGTGTCGGCTGCTGCTGTGATGACTGAGGGGTGGCCACAGACGGGGGCTGGACTGGGGTCTGAGGCTGCGGGGTCACCTGGGCCTGGGCTGCTGCCTGGACCGTAGGGGTGCTCTGGGTTTGGCTAGCACTGGGCACAGAGCCTGGAGTCGGGGTGGGAGTCTGCCCGGAAGACGACACGGGAGTCGATGGCTGGGTGGGGGCTGCTGGCTGAGGAGGAGTCATCCCAGGTGCCGTCGGGTGCTGGAGAGATGGCATGCCAGCAGCCGTGGAAGCAGGAGGTGGCGTCTGGTGCAACGGTGACTGTGTCACTGGTGGGCAGGGCAGCTGGCCGGCCTGGGGCCCAAGCATGTTCAGAGGGTTAGGAAGAGTGGCACCAGGCACCTGTCCCTAACAGAGAGAACAGAGGATGTTAAAATTATTTCCCCAACTGAAAACGTGGCAACAGATTTAAAGAATTAAACGCATGAAAATCTAACCCTGGGTTCTTGGTGAGGTCTGCTCGTTTCAAGGGCATGTGTCATTTGTAAAACTTCACCCAGCTGTACACTTATAACAACATGCACTTTCCAGTAAAGTTAATGCAGTGGAACATTTCTCATCCTGTGATTTACAGAACTGTTGAAACCTCTGGCTTAAACTAACACATATCCACTCAGCTTACTAGCTTCATGCTCCAAAACATTTACCCGCTTAGACCGCTGAAAAAGGTGTTTCTCTTTTTTTCAAGAAATGAGTTATTGAAACACTGAAATGTTTCAATAAAGTGATTCCCAAATGGGGACATGCTTCGCAATTATCCGTGGACTTCTTAAAAAAGCGATTCCAAATCACTGCTCTAGAACAGGGGTTAGGGCCCAGTCCAGCTAGCTGCCTGTCCCTGTAGGAAAGTCTGGAACACAGCCACGCCCCTTCATTTACGTGTGAACGACTATGCCCCTGGCAGCTCCACAACAGTGAGGCCGAGTAGTTCAAAGAGTCAGAAGCATTTACAGGAACAAGTCTGCTGTTCCAGAACAACAGCGTGTTACAGAAATGAAGAATTAGTAAATATTTAGTGAGTAAATCGAGCATAGTCAATGACTTTTTTCAACATTACTTCATGTAAAAACTGAGAACAGGAATATTGTCTTCCAGGGGAAGATCCAGCCTGTTCTAAACGCATGCACATGTGTATACAGCAGCAACTCCACGCCCGACAATTAACAGTTCTCCAAAGGGGGAAAAAGGCACTAAAATGAATGGAAAATAGTTCTCCTCAGCTTTAAACAGCATCATTAAAAACAAATTTGACAAGAAGAGAACTACTCAATCGATCCAGTTAGCGGACTTCACCCAGGATGCCCAGAGAGATGGGCAACAGGACACACCAACCAAGTCGCCAGCCGAGTTCATGGGGCCTGTCCTCACTCTCTAACATTCAAGGTCTCTCAGGATCATATGTGAATTTAAAACACACAAATAAAAACCAAGAAAATGACTACTAAAACCCAAAACACAAAGCCTATGAACCAAAAAACCACAATCCATTCCACTTTGGTATGAAGTTGGCCCAGAGATGATAAGAGTAATTCTAAAGAAGGTAAAAATAACAACAAAATGGGGGTAAAAAATCAAGAGATGCTCATCTGTAATAATGAGATGTGTATTCTGGAATTCATCAGGAGGAAGCTGGGGCCCCGACCCGGGAGCGCAGTACCTGTGGCACGCCTGTCTGGGCCGCCGGCTGCCCCATGCCCACACTGTTTACGCTCATCGCCCCACTGGAGGATTGGAACTGGCTCTGTGGCAGGAACTGGTTCTGCGCAGGCGCCTGGGCCATAATGTTGTTGGTGTGAGCGCCCATCATGTTCGGAGGCTGAGGCATTCGGGAAGGAGAAATGGCCATCTAAAAAACAAGCATCATCAAGAGATCGGAGGATGAGGACCAGAGTCTTCAAGATAGAACTCTCTGAACCCTCCCTTCCCTGTGGCAAGAGAACCACCACTAAGACCTTCCGGCTCCCAGGCACTTTGCGTGCTTTCTCATATAAGGTCTCCAAGAAGCCAGTTTCAAATTCATCTCTGAATAGAGATCAATAGCATGCTATACTTTAAAGTTCAAAATATGCCTTTCACGACTTCTATGACGTGTTAAGAAAGCAGCCTCAGGAGAGTAAGCTCCAGGAGTCAAGAGACGCTGTCAAGCATCTCTCGGAAACATATCTGAGACTGCCTACTCCAACCTCAGAACTTGTGTCTTCTCACAAAGTCACAAGTCCCTATGAATTTAACATCCCAATAAAAATAAACAATGGTCATATAATTCTCACCTGTAGTCAGGAAGACCAAAGAGAGGGAGAGAGATATGAAGTAAATAAAGCATAACTAAATCCAGAGAAACAAGCACAATCTCAATTTCACTGCGTAGAGAATTTTCCTTATTCAAGCAAGGCCCTCTCAGCACAGCTCAGGCAAAGAGAAGCACTTACCCCTGGAACGGAGCCCATGCTGTTCATTGGGACAGAGTGGTTCATGGGGGATGCTGCACGCGGTCCCATGGGAGCTTGTGGCAACTGTACATTCCCCAAGGACATCGGGGTAAATGAATTCATCCCTGTAAATGCACCCACAATGATTCATTAGAAAAAGCACCCACAGGAAAACAGAGCTACAGCTCGCCAAACTCTACGCAAAATAAATTGGAATACATACACAAGACATACAACAGAAATCACCCAGGAAATCAGAAAAGATGGCCATGTAACACTTTTCAAATACAGAAAAATGGCACCAACGTGGCGGTGGTGAGAGTGGTTTGGTGGGGTGGGGGCAGGGCAGCATGAGGAGACGAAGGGAGAAAGTCAGGTCAACCACCAATGAACGAGGTGGCACCAGGAAGGCACTCCTACCCTCCATGGAGGAGGTCTTGGCTAAGGCCAGGGCACCCATCTGAGCCAACCTCCCCAAAACCTTCCAGAGCACATGGCTCCCTTTTCCTCTCCTGCAGGAAGGCCTGCCCCATCATCCCAGGCCTCTTGGCTCTTCGGCTGGGTTTACATTTATTGTTAGAAACAAGACTCGAACTATGGTTTTAATTTTGCAAGCATGTAAAGTGTTTAGAAAGTGCCCAAGGGTGAGCAATTCTCAATCGCAGCCTCCTCTCTCCAGACTGGCAAGCTCCCCCTCCCATGGCTATCCTCCCCTTCCCAGGGGTGTCCACAGCCCACAGGAATGTCACACGATCAAAGACACCTCACTGGCTGCTACGCGTCCCCGGACCACGGTGTCTCATTCTTCCTCACTTGCCACCATACTCTGTAAACTCCACACCTACATGTAAAGCTCTACACATCAATGTTGGTTCAAGCAAGTCTTAGGACTGACGCTGGGAATCTAACAATCCTTGAGGTGCCATCTTAACACTGGCACAGACGTGAGAAGGTCTCAGAGAACATGTGCCTCCCTCAGCATTACCTTCAAGGACACCTAGAAACGTCACCTAAAACAAACCAGTGCCTGCATGGGCCCAGGAGGACTTTCTAGGAAGGCTATAAGCTTCCCCCTCTCCTTGAGGATTTTATATAAGAAAAAAAGGCAGTACTGAGAAACAGCACTACAAAGAGCCCCTCTTCACAGACAGAGAAGTGCTGGTAAGGGAGCTATGAGGGCTTTGCTAGAAAACTCCTTCAATACCCTGCTCAACAGCCCTCCTCACATCCCAAATCAGCCCCATCTTCCACGTCATCCCCCACGCAGCATTCAGCTACATTCTCAAGGCTCCATTTTCCTGACTTCCTGGTTTCCTTCACTCTCGTATCTAGTCCGTCCATCAAAAGAAGGCCTTCAAGTTTCTCCCAAACATCAGTTGACCTACCACGTCTCTTCAGTATGCAATTAAGATTACCACAACTTTTTAAAAGTTTTTTTATTTACCTTTTGAAAGTAATCTCTACACCCAATGTGGGGCTCAAACTCACCCAAGACTACCACAACTTTTAAAATGACCCTTTCTCCCCTCTCGTACTACTCTGCCCACAGCAGCAAGGCCTTGCTTTGGAATCTCCTGGATAATGTCACCACCTTATTTCACAACCTGTAAAAACATCCCGTTGTTCAAGTCTCGATGTGACAAGAGCCGTAAAAGCCTTGAAATGCTCCTCTCCCAAACTCCAATGAGTGTTTCAACCACAGACACCATAGAATCTCAACTTGAGAAAGAGCCTTTAGAAGTGGTTCAGGCCGCTGCCAGCACAACCCAACCTGAGGAGGAGCACAAACCCTCTTCAGTCCGGCTCAATGTTCTCCTCCACAGTCTTCCGGCAGGTTTCCTGCCCCCACAAATGAGGCTTTTCGAGGAAACTCTTCCAAAGAGTAATATCCCTTCCTGTCCATTAAAAAAAAAAAAAAAGGCTGGGGCGCCTGGGTGGCTCAGTCATTAAGGGTCTGCCTTCGGCTCAGGTCATGATCCCAGGGTCCTGGGATTGAGCCCTGCATTGGGCTCCCTGCTCGGTGGGAAGCCTGCTTCTCCCTCTTCCACTTCCCCTGCTTGTGTTCCCTTTCTCACTGTGTGTCTGTCAAATAAATAAAATCTTAAAAAAAAAAAAAAAGGCTAAACCCTGCTTCTGATGTCCTGGGAGAGCTTTCCTATGGTCTTCTAACTTGCAAATATCACAGCTAAGCACACTGACTGTGGAAGTAAATTCCGACCACCAGCAGAAGGAGGGGAGGGACTAACGAGAAGCTACAAAGAGATGCAGACAGAAGAGGATCAACGGATCAGCTTTGCGGCTGTTGAGTGTTAAACCAAAACATGATTCACAACAATGGTTCAATACCTTGGGACACCTGCACGCGGTTCACCGGCAAGGGCATGGGTCCGTCTGCAACGGCAGAAAAAACCTGCTTATTTAAAATAATCCCTCATTTGGGAACAAGGAATTTTACCTTCAGAACGTCAAACTTAAAGGGAAAACCCGTGAGTAGGTGCGAAGACACTGAGCATTCGGCCGCCTGCACACCCTCCCGAGGCCTCTCCAGAAACAGACCGGTGCGGAAGGCCACGGCCGCAACCACACAGCTTCCAAAGTGCGGGCTCCCTGAGAACACAGTTCTCTAGGCTTAGAAACACACCCCAAACCCAGAGGGGAAAACAGGCCGTCAGACTGAGGGCTGGCAGAAGGAGGTGGAGTCCTTACTTGGAGGCCTCACAGGCTGTGTCTGCGGAATCCCTGGGGGCTGCGCCCCGGGAGCCGGCAGGGAGGGCTGGTTACCCAAGATGCCTTGTTTGTGCAAACGCGACCTCCGCTTTTCTTCTAGTTCTTTTTGTATCTTGTAGATTTTTTCTGCCAGTAAGTGATAGTATTCATCCTAAAAAGCAATAACATTCAATATTAAGCAGCCAAAGCTGTGCAAGGGGGGGGGAAAAACCAAACCCAATCTGTTTTACATGTTTTAGCAAATGAATGAACTTTTACATTAAGTACGTTGGCAAAGGTAAGTATTAGCACTTCTGTTCTGTTGTTTTTTGTTTTAAGTAAGCTCTAGGCCCAACAGGGCGCTTGAACTCATGACCCCAAGATCAAGAGTCACATGCCCTACCAGCTGAACCAGCCCGGTGCCCCAGCACCCAACACTTCTAACCGATAAACCCAAGGCCCAACTTCTTGTTGAATGCCTAGTGACATTATAGGACTTATCAGGCAAGGGGCGCTAAATGCACATTACATTTCATTCCACAGTCCAATCACTTCCTGGATATTCGACACTGGCAGTAATAACACAGTACGAGCATTAGAAACAGCGCCCTCTGTAAAGTCCATCCATGGATAAAACACAATTTTACATGCTCATTCACCACCGTAGTGGACATGTGTCATCAACCAAGCGAGTTGTGCAGGAGTCTGCTGTCTTATCCGGGACGTCTCTCTGGTCAGTGTCCTCGAGGTGGTGAGTCTACCTAACAGATTTCCCCATTTCCAGACAGATGCCATTCTTTCGACTGTGGGTGTCACGCGGCTGGAACATGGATGGCAACCTACCCTGCTGTTGGCAGACTCATACATATCCCCCTCCACTTTCTTAGCGTAAGCCACCAGGTTCTCCATGCGGCGATCCTTCAGGGCTGCCGGGTCAGGGGTTGGAAAGATGGCTTGGACGCTGCAAGGACAACAGGTTCTGTCAACAGACTTTTGAGACACCATCAGTGTCTTGCTAGTTTATACATGATGACATGGAGAGAGAGAAATGAGACCATCTACTTATGGGGGGCAACATACTGCTGAGAGAAATGCCAAATCTCTCTCGCCCAGTACGTGAACACACAAATGAAATCACTTTCTGGAAACAATACTGACCTGTCAATTTATCTATACGTCAAACACACCAATATTTTGCTATTTACAGAACGTGCTAGCTCATCTCAAGAATAATACAATTTCAAACTCCTAATTTTTTAAGATTTATTTATTTGAGAAAGAGAGAGAGAGAGAGGGTGTGAGCGGGGAGGTGGGGGGAGAGGCAGAGGGACAGAATCTTAAGCAGGCTCCCCACTGAGCTCGATGCAGGGCTCGATCCCTTGACCCTGAGATCATGACCTGAGCCAAAATCAGGAGTTGGACACTTAACTGACTGAGCCACCCAGGTGCCCCCTGGAACTCCTAATCTTTAAACTATTTATCATAAATAATTTTCACTAAAAAGATGAAGGAAAAAAACACTCCAAGGGAATTAAGTTCATCTGATTTCCCCTTCAATTTAACTTAGTAGCTCGAAAAAGTTAACTGTTGACTTCCTGTTAACATACTGTATGTGGCACTATCCTGCCCTCTGTATTCACCAGGCCCAAATTCCCCCAGCTCTCAGGGGCCTCCACAATTATAATCTTCAGCTATAAAACAAGGCAAAGCTTTTGAGCTAACACTAGTTCCCTGTTGCATGTCAGAGCTCAGAGGACAGGAGGTCTGGCCACACTAGAAATCTTGACCTCTGTGACATGGATGACAGTTCATGTCCCATGCAGGGCAGAGCCATGGACGCTCTGACACCCCCCACCCCCAACTAGGATTCTCTGGCCTGCCTGCAGTGGCTGTGGCTCCCTGAACAAGCATGTGACCCTCTTCAGCTGCTAGAGCACTGTCACCTGAGACCCAGGGGACCACTTAGGAATTAAATCAGACATCAGTGAAACTACAAAACTGTCACACTGCTGTCAGCCACAAAATGTTTCCATCATATGTGAATAAAGGTGAGGCAGGCACGTACAGTTTATGCACTAGATGGCTCCGCAGGTCCTGAGTGACGTGTTCGTGCCACCCTTTCCGAACGCCAGTGCTGGAAGGAGGGGCCGCTGTAGGTATAGTGCTGAGGGTCCCAATGTTTGCAGGGCTCGAGCCATCGTTCATCAGTGGGCTAGGGGAAGAACAAGAATACTCATTACAAGTGATGCAAATGCGCTTCATTTAAATGAGGTTTTTCAACCACACTTGACTTTTAAAAACTCAGGACAGCCAAGTGATGTATATACAACAAAACCGAAACCGTGTTTAATTTATTATCAGCTCTACGGTTATAGTAATAATAATGATAATTTAAAAAAAGCACCCCCCGCCATACTATCTTCGCTGTCACACATTTAAGAAACTATCACAGTTTTGTGATTCCCAACCCACTTTCATGTGCGACCATCACTCAGATAGGAGCTGATTCAAACACGGGTCTTACTTTGTGGCCCCAAGGGAAGTTGGAAGAGCTGATTCTGAAATCAAGTTTGGTGGCTGCTGATCTGTTGTTATTCCTCCTGCTGGAATGTTCATTGGGTTATTTCCTTTAAAGACAGAAAGAAATCAACCAAGTCCTAAATTATAATATACACTTCAAAGTACTGATAACGTAAACAAGTCACCACATAAGTGATTCTTAGGAGTTATAATAATAGCCACTATGGCAGGAACTCTGCAAGCTATTATTTTCAATAATTGTAATCAACTTGTACAAATTCAGTTGCAAGACTCCTTCTCACTGCACTTTGTAACCAAAATCAAGCATTTCTGTGGAGGCTATCTGGTATCATAAGTGGACTCTGTGGCTGTGCAAAAAAGGACAAATGATCTGCTTGTAAGCTTCAGACTTTTATTCTGGCTTCATTAATACCGTGCCCTAAACAACTAAACTGACCTGTCACAAAGATTTGTGTCACCTTTTCTTTTCATATCAGAAAATAAAATCATAGAAATTACTTGCAAGTGAAAACATCTGTGTATTCATTTTATTTTTTATTTTTAAAAATTAAAAAAAATATTTTAAATTAACATATTATGTATTATTTGTTTCAGGGGCAGAGTATTCATTTTAAAGTAAGAAAAAGCTGAGACTGAGAGAGGTTAACAGTCTTGTCCCAAATTATACCCTCAAACAGGAGTAAGAGTCCACCTTACAACTCAGGTCTGAGGGCTCCAACCCAGTTGCAAGGCCACTAGAAGTTAGATACACATTAGGGCAGTTTTGTCCAAAAAGCAATGATTGAGATGTTTTTAATTCGTCAATCTTAAAAGGGTCATTTTTAAGGTTAAAATACATACTTTATTAGGAAAACAACCAAACTAGCACAACCACCTTGACTTCACTTAACTGCCTGCGGGGCTCACTTTAAGAGCATTGTGTCAATTTAAAAGAAAAACATTAAAAACACAATATGCAGAGATGGCAGAAACTATGGAGATGTGTGAGCGAATGAGCAAACCCTGGCTAATGATGAGTTCAGATGACAGCAGGAAGCCCAGTGCCCGGGACAAGGCCGAGGCAGGAAGCATGTGCGGAGACTTCCTTGCTAGGCCGCTCCTGTCCGGGCTGCTCGCCTCCAGCTGTGGCTTAGCCCGTGACCAAGACATGCCAGGAATTGGCAGGCCACCTACGAGTTCTCCAGCAGAGCAGTGGTCCAAAAGTGGGACAGTCGTAATTCTAACTTGTGAGATCCCACATTCTGAGTCATGTGAAATGCCCCTTCTGAAAACTGTCCAGACAGGAGCAGCACAGCGACCTCATGTTGGTTCCTTTATAAATGCTTCTCTTTTCTCAAACCTGGAACATCTTCCTTGAATGGACACAGTAGCCTTTTCCTGGAAGTTCTTTACTTCAAGCACTTAAAAGATATCTTCATCATAATTTATACATATATTAATTTGAATTTAAAGTAAAAACAGTTAACGGTAAACTGCCTTGGGTTCCAGAAAGACTTGTCATTCCCACTGCTGCATTGGACAAACAAGTTCTCAAGCGTTCCTTCACCTACCCAGGGGGTTGAGAGTCCTCATCTGCTGGTGAGTCTGAGGCTGTGCTGGTTGCTGGCCGGGAACCTGAGGCTGCAGCTGCGTCTGGGGCTGGTTCAGGTAGGGGAGTCCAAGAGCAGCGTACGCGCGCTGCATGGAGCTGGGGTCTATGGGATTTGGGTTACTTAAAGACGCGGCATTCTGCTGGCCTGTGCCAACAGAACCAATTGTGTTCTGAATCCCACTAGCTGGAGACCCCAGGATGGCTAAAACAACAAACAGACAGACAAACGAAAAAGTTAAGTAAAAGGGAGAAGCCCACAAATGATTGACAAGCTACTGAGAAGCCAGTACAATCTCATCAGCAGACTATCTACATATGTCATAAGGCAACAGAACAAGGCTACTGAGAATGGAGCTGTGCAGAGAAAAGGGGCCTGAGCTAGTCACCTATTCTGTACAGCAGCGCTTGAGGAGCAAAAACCTGAAGGAAATTCAAGCTTTGATCTTACAACCAACAGATCACAAATTCAGAGCTCACTTAAGGAAAATTATGTATGAAATCTAGAGACTCAGAACTCTGTTTCAGGGGAGTGGCACACACGTGACAACAGAAAGTATTCTGATTTGGGGGAGCAACTGCCATCACTGACATGAACTAAGGGGGTCCCCCTTTGGCTGCCACTTTCCCTGGGGTCCTTCACTGCTCACCTGCACAGGTACAGAGGATTAAAGAAGGGGCAGAGGTGACACCTAGTTGGTCAGTTTTGTTACTTATTAATTAATAAGTCTAGGACGTCAATCCTTCTAACGACAAAATTTCAATTCCTCAAAACTTATATGTACAATGGCATTAACACCAAACCTTTCTTTCCTACAGTTTCGTATGCAGGAAGGCCCCATGCTAAGCCGTCTGGCTATCTAAAGCTGCTCAAGAAATACTGTACCTGACTGACTGATCTAGCTAAAATTAATGGATGGAACGAGGCTTGGAGATTCTGCATGGATTTTCATTTATCCAGGCATCACCTCAGTACCACTGAGATTCAGGAACTGGCACAGCCTCACGCAGCCATCCACGCCCACTACCCGGCCTACTGATGGCTTGCAGGGCACTCCCTCCTGGTACTCCACCATCTACCGGGGCCAATCCCAAAAGACCGAAGGAAAATTTGGAGCAACATAAAGAACCCCATTCCCAAGGACTTCAAACTTAACAGAATGGCCCCAAATCTGCATCTCCTTGGTCACTTCAAGTTCAATTCATCCCTCTGTCCAACCATCCGAATGTCCTCATTTGGTGAGCACGCATCATAAGGCAAAAGCTTTATATTCTACTATTCATTCTTATTCTTAAGATTTCCCTTCTTTCCAACTTCCCCAAATTTTAGTCATGTTATAAACAGTAGCTTATAAAACTGATACTATAACATATGATCTTTGACACATTAAGCACTCTCACAAAGCTTTCCTTTCATATTCTGACAATTACATGTAACGATAATATTCTCACATTCAACCGTGCAACTATAACATAAACAACTCACATACTTATCAGAGTATTTTAATTAAAGCTAAAGGTGTAAAAAAAAAATCTTGGTAATTACACATTCCATATTATTAACTTTTCTAATAAGGATATTCAGATCTCAAACTCATTAACGCTCATTAGACACAATTACACACACCAAGCACCTCATTATTATAAATGAAAAGCAATTCCCAAGCTACTCTTTATGACAAGCGTGTAGCTTAAGTCATGTATGCTATCTTTAAAAGTATCTTCTCTAATAGTTAATACTCCTCCCCCCCCAAACTTTCAACATGTGCCCACCATATTCCTAAAACTGACAGGTCAGATTTTCTAAAAGAACTCTGATATGTTAGGGGCGCCTGGGTTGCTCAGTCGGTTGAGCGTCAGAATCTTGAATCTCAGCTCAGGTCTTGATCTCAGGGTCAAGGCCTGCATTGGGCTCCACACTGGGCATGGAGCCTACTTAAAAAACAAAACAAAACACAACACTCTGATGTTAAAAAGAAAGCAATAATGGTAGGATGGTTTATTTTTCTATCACCTACTGGTTTAAGAAAGAACAGGCCCAGACTATATTTGCTACACACAGTGATGAATTGTGGAGAGGAATTTAAAGAAAGAAGGTGTCTAGGTAGCCTTCTGTTTCAGGGTGAAGAAATAACTTTTCCTACTATATTCCACTTTCATTCACCCAGCCCCAAATGCCATCCTTTCCATCAAAATGCCCCACCTTAGGGTGAATGCCACTCCCAAACCAAAGGCATTTATGGGGAAGCCAGAGCCTCCATGGAAGCTGCTGATATGGTCACTGTATTTGTATTTGTGTTATAAGCATTTAATTCCTACATATAAATATTATGGTGTTTTTTTATTAAAAAAACGAAACAACACATTATGTATCAGGAGACAAGCATTTGGTATTTGACAATCCTAACAATTCAGAGGCATGGAAAACAAAGCACAAAAAAGTAAAAAAGGTCTCTGACATTTAAGCATGGTCCAATTTGAGTCCAAATGACAAATGCTAGTTTTGGGTGACACAAATACCTCAGGGTAAGGGAATGCAGACGTTTACTGTAGGGGTGATGACTGGTTGAAAGAGGAGTCATCAGGTAAAAGGAGATTCTGTTTAAACTCTGTTCTGCATTTCTCCTAGAAGTCTTCCTCGCCTTCTGGGTGGCAATAAGGCTTCCTACCATTCCTACAATGCCTACTGGGCCTCTGCTTCTCTCTGCGCCTTTTCCACCTCACACGCTCACTCACTCAGTCCACAGGTGGAGTGCATGCAGACTGTGCGGGGCACTCCGAGAGGTTCCAGGACGGGAGCACAAAGTCTGCACTCGGGGCACAGGGGCGGCTGGGAGAGAGAACGCATTAACCTAATAATCCCCTAAGTCACAGCGGCTCTGGACCCTGGAAGGAGAAAACCACGCTCATCCCATCATCACTGTATACTCTCTGAAGGCAGGCCAAGCACGGTGCCGTGCACACAGCCCTGGAAAGCCCACGCCGAGTTCAGGGAGCTGTGGCAGGTGGCAGAGCGACCGGCCTTCCCAGGCCCTCCCGGCATGCAGCACCGCAGGCCTTGGGGTTGAACAAAAGCAAGGAGTGCTAAAGGCAGCAACACTCATTTATCTGGCATCACCGAGAACGAGGCCTTCTGCATTCATCAGTCTTAAACATTATCGACATTTACCTCTTTAAATGTCAAAACCTCTTGTTCTTTTTCCCATTTTTACATCTTCTTTCCTTCCTTAGAGCTTAATGCTGTATTTCGTATCCAGTCTCTGTCCCCTCACACAGTGTCTCAATCCATCAGTGTGGCTCTCCTCCCTACGGGTCAGTGGCATTCCCGCCAGCAGCCCATCTTCAAGATACCCCCAACATCTCCACTGCCTCACCACCCCCTGCTGCAGCCTAATCGGGAGCCCGTGACCCTAGGAAATAAAAGGCCAAGTTTTCTAGTGGGCTCTTTTTAGGACCCACCTGCCACTTTTCATGTCCTTCCCCTGAGAGAATGGAGACTGCTCCACTAACAGGTCCCGCGTCCAGAGCACATTGAGAAAATTCAAGTCCCCAGATGTTCTCAGTAAAACTGGACTCGAGGTGAAAATCCAATGAAAATGAACAAACTAAATTTCAAAGCTTTGTCAGCATGGTGGGAGATTTACCACGAAGCAGGCAAAGCAGTGACTAACTAGTCACTGCTTAGATTTCTACTGAAAAAAGTCATGCTAGAATTAACTCAGACCTGCAGACGTCTCTGCAGAGTGGCCCCCACACCTCTGTGCCTCCCAGGTGCTGCGTGCACCAGGTCAGCCTTCCTTTCCAGCATCCTCTTTTTTTTTTTTTACAAGCCATCTCTACACCCAACATGGGGCTCGAACTCACAAACCTAATTTCAAGAGTCACATGTTCTACCAACGGAGGGGGTCCAGTGCCCCTCCAGCATCTTCCTGTGCACAGTGCAGGGCAGGAACAAGAAAGAACACCTAAGCCCCCGGGCTGGACCTCCAGCACAGCCACCACTGAGCTAGAACACACAAGTGTGCAACAGGTTTTCTTCAGAAGCCAAACGACTCAGGAGGGGCAACACTGTGGGACCCAGACGAGCAAGGCAAAAGCTACTTTGATGAAATACATCACCACTGACTGCTGGGTACTTAAATTAGGGGCAGACAAGCCTACAGCTCTACCCCTACAGCCATTCAAGTTCCACTGCAACCTCTGCTCCGCATCCCAGGCACAGGCCGTCAGAAGAGGCATCTGAGAGTCTCTGAAGGGCTCTCGGGTGGAACAAGGGTCTGTTCAACAAACCCTTACTGTGCCCCGGAGCAGGCTGCTCCATGAGCAGAAGCTCTAAGGAGGTAGATCTGGACTCAGGTCATGAAGGAAGGCACTTCACAATCACAGGTGCTTAAAATCGGAACAGACAGCCAGACCAGGTAGTGAGGGTCAAGCCCGTGGAGGTATTCAAGAGCCGGACCAGAGGACTACTGACTCACACTCCCCATTGTCATGCTGTGGGCAGTGACTGCGTTTGGTCTCAGGAGGAGGCTGATCCCGCGGCACAGATTTTTGACAGTTCTTGTGGGATTCTGAGCTGGGAAACCCATGATTTCCCCAGAGTGACTCGAAACGTCTCAGGAGCTCTGGGACAAATACTGAGCCCTTCAAGGCATCCTCCAGGGCTGTGCATCTCAGCTGTACTGTGCATACTGATCACCTAGGACTTCTGAGATGGGGCTTGACTTTCTGCACTTCTGCCTGTGTAGCCTGGTAGCAAGAACCCCATTGATGAGGCAACAGGAGTTCACATAGGGAATTAGGTCTTGTGTCCACACAGCCCTGCACACTGGAATTTTCTGGAAGTCAGATGCCAGAACTGACATTAGGTGTATACCTTGAAAAGTCCTAACTATTCAATAAAATCTGATTATCTCTCTAAGGGAGGGAAAGCTCAAGATCAGTGATAACACAATCTCAAGAAAACAAACATCGAACAAAATCTCAACACAGGCCAGAAAGGTAACCAATGGAGTGGCTTAGTTCCAGATGATGCCGGTAGGGTCTCTAAGCAGAGACATCCACGGAGGAAGTGAGGCCGTGGAGGGTGTGAGCACCTGCAGGAAACCTGCCAGGAAAGCACAGCCTCGGCAGGCACCGGGAGTCTCCCGGCAAAACCCCAGGGGCCCCAATCTCTCGCCACAAACCCTCCCTCCCTCCCCGAATCCCCTCGCTTGCACAGGAACCTGACTCCATGCTGGTTGTGCAGACACTGTGCTGTGTGCAGTGTCCTTCCATCATTACTGTACTGGAATGGGGCTCCATCAAGCCCTGGCCTCCAGCACACACGGGGCCCCCCGGACTCGCCTCCAGCTCGTTCCTTCCTGTGGCACAACTGTCACCTCGCTGCAGTGTACATCTTCTGACTCTGGCCCCTGACTTGAAGCTGTCGGAGGGCTGGACCCACACTTTCTCCCTGCTGCCGAACCCCCGTGGGCACACACCACCAGCACAGTCTGCTTCGGGAGAGGAGGAAGAGCAAACGCTTATAGAAGCACACTGCTGGAACGTTCTCACTCGCCACATCAACCTCCTGCCCTCAGAAAACCACAGAGCGAGAGAGAACCAGAAGAGCACACTCAGGGCCGAAACCTAATTTGAGGAGTATTTAACCATTTCTTACATAAGTGCTTTCATTTCTTTTACAAAAAAGTTACCAGAACCTGGTATAAAGTTAATCTAAATATTCCCGGTGACTTGACGTTATAAAATCACCCTGGTGACACCTTACATTATGACTAGTGGAAACACTGTGGTTTACCACTTCAGAGCACGCATTGGATCAACTGTCACAACATTCAGGCAGTTATAAGGATGTTGAGGGGAAAAAAAAAACCCACATGTATTTCTTTTCTTTTTTAAAACAAAAACCACATAAGTGTTTCTTAAAAAGAGAAATCACCAAAGTTTAACACTGTCATGGCAACACATACTAAAAACAAAAGGTCCCAGAAAAGCCACACCCCCAAATGAGAAATTCAGAATATAATCCTAACTTATTATTCATGGAATGAATATTTTGGCACTTAAAAAGCCTGTTACTGAAACATGTCCTAAAACACAAGAAAACGTAACCACCACAATATACTAGTTAAAAAAAAAAAATAGTTTTACACTAACTGTGAGGAAAAACAAGCTTATACCAACAGAACTACTCTCCCAAATACATGGTTCTGAAAGACTAGATTCCTAGAACTTCACTTCATGTAAGAGACGTCCTGGAAAACTGTGTATTAATTCCAGTTGTGGTCCAAGAAAAATTAAACTGATTTAGGAAAGTGCCTTTTCAAAGGAAACGCAGTGTGAGTCCTTCTGTAGGGAGGGACGATGACGAACCCACAATCGGCTGCCCACTTGGGAGGGACACCCCCGGCGTCACTGGTGCAGCACCCCAGCACTCTCAGGGCATGCTTTCCGCCGTGCCCCAGGCCCCAAGGAAACGAACAGAGAGACAGCTGCACAGGCTCTCCAGGCAGCAGTGGGGTCTCGAGGCAGATGATCAAGAAGGATGAGAGCAATGAACACGCAACCACAAACAAGATGGCCCAGACAAGATGGAGGAAGATGAGCAAGACTGTGTGGTGCTGGAGGTCGCGGGGAGCAGCGCCAGCCAGAGGGGTCACACGACACCGGAGGACACGTCCTATCTGTCCCAACTGAGGGACATACCCTAAGACCACAGTTTTACCCCTGAAGTGACAGAAAAGGACTTAAAACTGGAAGAGATGCTCATCCTTTCATTGCTCTGATGCCCACGAGGGCAGGGATCCCCCAGGGAGCCACACTCAGACCTCCTGAGCAGGGGCCTCAGCTCCGCTGACCAGCTAAGGGCTATACAGATGGCTCGAAAGACAACGAAACGATGGGAATGGTCAGGATGTGGCCAGTCCTGGGGCAAACACTCTCAATCTGTGCTGAATCAATCGTTGGTTACACAAACAGGTCTGGGAACCGCCTCTGCATGGAGGACGGCAAACCTCCCAAGTGTCTACATGTGGCATTTTATACTGACCCTGCCTGCCTGACACTTCCATAGCACAGCCCTCACCAAACTTACTTTAGGATAAGGTGTTTCAATTCTAAAGTAAGTGTCCCCTCTACTTCCCCGCCCCCTTGGAAGTCACTGCCATTATAGTGACATGACATTCAATCCTCAGATACTGAGTGTCTGTCAAGACATAGGAAGCCTTGTCACGTCCGCTCTGCGGTCACAGCGACCTTCCTTCTTTGCTCTGGTCCGCTGCTGCCAATTCTGGGGGGGCGGGGGGGTGGTGGTGGTGGTGGTGTGTGTGTGTGTGTGTGTGTGCGCACGTGCATGCAGGGGTGGGGACAAGATCCCAAAGTGGCCCTGTGCACACTGAGAATCCATCTCTTGCTAAGCTCAGCTTCCCCCTGGTGTCTTGGTGCAGCTCCACCTCCGTGTCTCTGCTCACCACTAGCCTCTGGGCTCAAGATCGCTGCCCTGCTTCCTACCTCTTCTCCCGCACTCTCTTTCCAAGTAGCTGTTCTCACCTCCGAGCTTCTCTACCCCCAATGCTCACTTACTTTGTTGGTTTCGCTTGTCACTGGCATTTTTCAAAGGGAGGCAAACAGGACAGTCATGTCGTGTGCAGTTCTTCCAATGAGAGATGATTTGTCGTGAAGATGCACAATGGGCAACTATGACCAGAAAAACAACGAGATGTTATTTTTCTATCCAGATCGTCACACTTTCAATTACACCTAAATTATAATGCCAGATTCCATAAGAAAATGGTAACACGTGTAACCATAACACAGTACAGGCAGTCCTCAACTTACAAACAGGATGTTTTCCAAAACGTTTGTAAGTCGACTGTTGAGAATTCTAAACACAAATTTCCCACAGAAGCAATGTCATGGATGATGGTGATTAAGGTTCGGCCCACAAAACAAAAACAAAACGTAACAAAAACTATCTGACTTGAAATACTGAACAATTGGAATGAAAGTTAGGACAAATAATAATGTTATGTCACTATTGAAAATAAAAATTCTACATTATGTTGAAGGATGAAACCATCTCAACACCACAGTTCAAGAAATACATACAGAGAAGCAAATGAGAAGTCTGGGGAGATTCTAAAGGGGACGCCGGGCACTTTTCTAAGTACATGAGAGGGTGACTGAACCTAGCGGTTACTCTGAGTCTTCATTTTCACTCCATACCGAGGCACTGTGATTTCTTTCTAAAGATCTAGCATGACCCTCTTCTGCTTCTCCATCAGGATCCCGGTTATGCTGGGGACTCACAAATGTCACAAAGGGAGAGAGAGGGAAGTCAGGGAGAGATTCTCACCAAGGTTTAGGAGCACAAGTAAGAAGAGAAAGGAGGAGGATAAAGATCAAAGTATAGTTGTTAGTAAGAAACACTTTCTTCTGTAGATTTGAGGTGTCCGCCAGAGAAGAGGGGAAAGGATTCACCCCCTTCTCAAGGAGAAGGAAGGAGGTGGCAGGGATGATATGGTGCACACGGCTCCCCGTGTCACGGATCGTGGCCCAGGACAACGTCGCTGGTATCCTGAATGGCCTCAAGATGAAAGGGTGGAGGAGCAAGGCGGGGGCCTCCGGCAGCCAGAACACATGAAACAGCTGCAAGACAGATGCTCTAGGTTCAGGGAGGGCTGCGTGCGCACGCGCCTGTGCCATCCTACCCAAAACAAAACCGTGCTCTAGACATTTATGATAAAGACAGTGCTCAAGAAGTGACAAAATGTCTTCCGTGACAGAGGAAGGAGGAAGAGAACAAAGGCAGGGCACTGCCTCATCCAGTAGAAGCTCACAGAGTATTAGGAAACCAAACCGCCGTTCTCCTGAGCAGGTAAGCGTGCCAGTGGCCTGTGCCTGGTTGGTGTGTGGAGGCGGAGGTTGCAGGAACCTTACTAACAAGAGAGCTCCCGAAGAATACTGGACACATTTCATCCTAAGCCACACCACCAGGATTTCAGAAAACGGCACTTACCTTGACAGGCTTTCCCAGCCTGACAATGTGTCATGTGATTCAAAACATTTTTCATGGTTCGACAGTGTGGGAGAGAGCAGGCCCGAACCTCTCCGTTCGCTTGTTCTCGTCTCTGACACTTATGAGCATGAAGCAGTAGAACCAGCTGCTGCTGTATCAGTTTGCGTTTCTCAGGATCTGCAGTGGGGCCCGCTGCGATCGCCTGTGTGGGGACAATTCCCACTGAAGTTTGCATCTGAGACTAAAATAAAACAATAAAAATTTTTTAATAAGCTTTCAGAGGTCTAATTCACATTCATTATTTTTCAGGTTAACGTTAAAGCTGATGGGCAATATTGGCCACAGAGAGAAGGCAGCTGGTGTGGTTCTCTTTAATTTAACAGCAATTTTAAGGAAGATCCAGGAGCACAGAAATAAACCAACTCAGAAGGCTGGTTAAAATTCACTCGTGTGTGAGGATCTCAGAGCAAGAAAATGACGCTTACTCTTGAACTGTCATAACCAAACCCAGCTTATTCTATAATATACATAAGTGCAGGAGTGGCTGTGGGCTGTCTTAGCTTGAACCATACGAAACTCGTTTCCGTTAGGCCCAATGGCCACACGCTGGCAATTTCATGGTTCAACCTTTAGACTGTCGAGGCCTGACCGATCACAATCCATTGCAAATACCCAGTGCATCAGAGAACCTGGAGCCACACGCAGAGCGGATTTCACTATCTTGTGACCAGGACAGTTCTTGCTTCACTTCTGACTTCTCCTCAAAGAACTGTATGACACACACCCTTAAGACAACCCTTCCGGGGCGCCTGGGTGGCTCAGTCGTTAAGCGTCTGCCTTCGGCTCAGGTCATGATCCCAGGGTCCTGGGATCGAGTCCCACATCGGGCTCCCTGCTCGGCGGGAAGCCTGCTTCTCCCTTTCCCACTCTCCCCGCTTGTGTTCCCTCTCTCACTGTCTCTCTCTCTGTTAAAAAATAAATAAAATCTTAAAAAAAAAAGACAACCCTTCCGTACAGCTGTTAATGCTCAGGAAATGCTGTGGCCTATTAAAATTTCAACTCAGATATCTGACAATTTTTTCAAGAAGTAGCTGATGATCTGCTAAAGTACGGATATAGAGTTTAATTGCTTTCATCCTTTCAAACTAACAAGCAAGGCCGACCACACCTCCCAACTGCAAAGAGAATGGGAAAGGTGATCTGTGGAGTCTTCTTATTCTTTACAGACTGCCAACATCCTTCAGAAAACGTACCAAAGAAACTTACAAAGTGAGAGGCATGTGATGTTCCTGATGTGCAGGGATACAGTCCACAGTGCAGGGTTTCTAACCTTCTCTCAGGCTCTGACCCCACAACTCCCAGCTCCACCTCACAGCACTCACTGCCTCCCCCAAAGTATGCCACCTCTCTGACTTTTCATATTAAGCATCAAAACTATTTACCTCCAGTTACAAGAGAAAAAAAAAACCTATACAAATATTTCTTAATGAATCAAAGCTCATTTTCAAAAAGTTACAGAGTTTTGTTTTGGTTCTATCTTTATGAGAACTCAGAAAATAAGTATGTAGAAAAGCCACAAGGCTTCCTCAGGAGCACAACTCCTGGAAGCCTAACTAGGGTCCAAAGCAAAAGCAAAGTCCTAGCTGCTGACTGGAGAAGCACATAACACCAAGGAAAAGAGAACCTCTCCTTCCTTATGTTAATTTTCCCCGGTGTAAAAGTACTATATACATGCTGCAGAACATCTGAAAAGCAACAGAGCTATGAAGGAGATAATTAACATCTGAAATCCCAACATCCAGGAGTCCACTCTTAAAGTGCTGATAGGTTTTTCTTCTTGCAGTCTTCTCTTCTACGTACATGCGTATGTATGAACCATAATCAACAGTCTTCTATCACTCACTCACTCACAGACACACACGACTTGGTATTTAACTCCAGGCTCTGTCCCGGATTATTGTTTCTTTTTTTAAGATTTTATTTATTTGACAGAGAGAGAGACACAGCGAGCAAGGGAACACAAGCAGGGAAGTGGGAGAGGGAGAAGCAGGCTTCCCGCGGAGCATGGAGCCAGATGTGGGGCTCGATCCCAACCATGACCTGAGCCGAAGGCAGACGCTTAACGACTGAGCCACCCAGGCGCCCCCATTAAGTTGTTTCATACAATATGACAGCATGATTTGTAATGAGCATATGACTATACATTCATTTATCCAATCTCCCATTGCTGAACATAAACTACACTCCCCGCCTCCCTTTTCTTGCAACTTAAAATACAGCTTTCACAAGCAGCCTTTGACTATGCCCCCAGCAGCATTCACTACCAATACTCAAAGTTTCCTCCTCGATTGGGTTATTCCCGATAGAAAGTCCCATAAGAAATCAAAAGGAATGGGGAAATGGAAGAGGACCCTTGCTCAGGCTTCTCTCTGCTGCATTTACAAAAATATCAAATATACAGAAAAGTAAACAGGAAAGGATACCATTATCACACCTAACAAAGTGAACGCTTCCTTAATATTCATTAATACTTAGTCCATACGCAAATTTCTCTAGTTGTCCAAAAAGTGTCTTTTAAAGTTGGTTTGCAGAAACAGGACCCAATTAAGGCCCATGCCCCACATTTGGTGGTTGTTTTTAAGGTTCATCTATTGCTTCCCTCCTTTATTTTTTCATGATGCTTATTGAAGAGACCATGCCAGTTGTCCTATTTCTTAAGATACAGAAATGCTACATACAAAAATATAAATCATATAAAAGCCAGGTGAAACCCTAAACTTACGATTAAATTATAAATAGAATGCTTTTAGGTTACTAAAAATTAACACACTGATTCTCATTTGGGATGTTCTTAATAGCATTTTTTCAACTATACTGACCACATTTTGGAAGCTCAACATGTCAAAAGAGCACAGTTGGAAAGTCTACGGCACATGTTTATCAGGAGATGCTCGATGAGCTCTACATGTCGTAGACATAAGTCTCGGACAAAATGGAACAGAAGACACGCCTCCGGTGCCTGTGTCTGGCCCTCCCGATGACTCTGTAGACCTGTATGGGGCTAGTCCACTTAGCAAGGTGCTGACAAATGCAGGGCAGAGTCAAATGCCTCCACTCTCAGACTGAGATCTGATGAGACGAAGGAGTTACATGAACTGCAAGTGTCCTGAAATCCGTCAGAAACACCCTTCAGGGGCGCCTGGGTGGTTCAGTTGCTAAGCGTCTGCCTTTGGCTCAGGTCATGATCCTAGGGTCCTGGGATTGAGCCCCGCATCAGGCTCCCTGCTCCGCAGGAGACCTGCTTCTCCCTCCCCCACTCCCCCTGCTTGTGTTCCCGCTCTCGCTCTCTCTCTGTGTCAAAGAGATAAATAAAATCTTTAAAAATAAATAAATAAAAGGTAAAAAGACTGAGAAAAAAATGGTTGTTTTTAAGAAGTAGAAATAGTAAAAATATAGGGCCATTTTTTTTTGAGATATTCTTTATTTATTTGACAGAGACAGTGATCCCAGGACCCTGAGATCATGACCTGAGCCGAAGGCAGACACCCAACAACTGAGCCACCCAGGCACCCCAAAAGGACCATTTTTTAAAAAGATTTTATTTATTTATTTATTTCAGAGACAGAACGCACACATGAGTGGGGTTAACGGCAGAGGGAGAAGCAGACACCCTGCTGAGCAGGGCGCCCAACATGGGGCTCGATCCCAGGACCCTGAGATCATGACCTGAGCTGAAGGCAGATGCTTAATGACTGAGCCACCCAGGCGCCTCGATAGGACCATTTTTTAAGCTCCTGAAATGTCTGTTTTCCAGGAAGGCTGTGGCATTTATTATCATATAAAGAGTTCTTAAGAGGAAAAAGAAAACAACAAAAAACAAAAAACACCACTACTCCACTAAAAGGTATGTGGGGGAAATGTGCAGACACCTCAACAAAGGAAATACAAGGATATGACAAACATAAAACACGTTCCACGCCTCAGTGACAGAACCACTCAACGGAGGGAAGAAGAGTCTTCCGAACTACTGGTGGTGACGAGGGAAGGACTGGACACTCACCCGCATAAGCACGAATGTGGACCCCTCGCTCACGCCATACCCAAACAGTAACTCAGAACAAACCCAGGACCTAACAGTGGGCACTGAAACTGGAACTCTCAGAAAAATCACAGGAGTAAATTTTCATGACCTTGGGCTAAGCAATGAGTTCTTAGATATGTCACCAAAAGCACGAACAACAGCAACAACAAAGAGAAGCTGGACCTCATTAAAATTAAAACCTGTTTGCTTCAAAGGACACCACTGAGAAAGTGAGAGACAACTCAAAGAATGGGAGAAAATATTTGCAAATCACAGATGTGATAGGCACTCACATCTAAAACATACAAAGAACTCTTACAACTCGATAAAAAGACAAACACCTAATTAAAAAATGGGCAAAATAGGGGCACCTGGGTGGCTCAGTCGTTAAGCGTCTGCCTTCGGCTCAGGTCATGGTCCCAGGGTCCTGGGATCGAGCCCCACACTGGGCTCCCCGCTCCGTGGGAAGCCTGCTTCTCCCTCTCCCACTCCCCCTGCTTGTGTTTCCTTTCTCGCTGTCTCTGTCAAATAAATAAATAAAATCTTAAAAAAATAAAAAAATGGGCAAAATATCTGAATATTTCCCCCCAAAAGACACACAAATGGTCAATAAATACACGAAAAGCTGCTCAACACCATCAGCCATCAGGGAAACAAATGGGAACCACAACGAGACGCATCACCCCCACCAGGATGGCCACAATTAACAACAAGAGGCACAGCATGTGCTGATGAGCGTGTGGAAAGCTATACCAAAGTCAAATGGAGCAGCCGCTTTGGAGAACAGTCTGGCGGCTCCCCAAAAGGTTAAACCTAGAGTCACCATAAGACCCAGCAATTCCTCTCCTAAGTATCTACTCGAAAGAAGTGAAAACTATGTTCACACAAATGTCTGTAGTAGCATTATTCATAACAGCCAAAAAGCGGAAACAACCCAGATGCCCATTAAGGGATGAATGGAAAACAGAACGTGATACATCCACAATGGACTACTATTCAGCCACGAAAAGGAAGCACTAAACACATGCTGCATCAGGAACTCTGAAAACACTATGCTCAGGTTAAAACAGACGTCACAAAAGAGCACACACTGTAAAATACCATTTCTTTGAAATGTCCAGAAGAGGTCATTTCACAGGGGTAGAAAATGCATTACTGGT